GATTAGGAGCGCTAGCTTAATTATGACCACCGTTCTGCCCCCACCGCAGGCTGTCACATAGTTTGGTGATTGTGGCCGCCTCCAATACCGGGCTGGTGCTGCTGGTGCTGGTCATTTCAATCGTCAGGAGTTGCATGACGGATCGGGCGGCGGCGCTGGAGGCGGCGGCGGCGGCGCGCCACGCCGCCCGAGGCGGCGGCACCGGGGGCGTGTTGGGCTTCCTGATCAGTAACTTTGTAACGCCCACACTTCAGACGATGGGAATTACTCATCGGGGGTGAGGGGCTTTTTTGTGGGTTAGGGGGGGGGGACGGCAGGGGCGGGGAGGGGGGTTGCAAGTGCATGAGCTTGAACCTTGGTTGATGAACGGAGAAGTGGGGCGCCGTACACTCTTTTCCGGCAATGTCGGGGCTCTTTGTGTGTGTAATTTTAGTGACGTGTAATTTTAGCACGGCAGCTCGTACTGTTGGTACGACTTTTGATAGTGTGATGACGTGGATAGCTTTCTGTGTACACCGGTTCAGAGTACACTAGCATCACCTCCACCCAGATGAAAAAGGAGGGGAGGTGGTGGTGGTCCAATCCGTCCAATCCGTCCCGTGTGTGTCTTTTACCCTCTCGTTTAGTTTTCCCTTAATTCCCAACTTCTAACTCTCAACTTTCACCATCATCATGTATAGGCCGGAAGACGGGGCTGGCGGCGGCGGGCGGATGGGCCCTGGCGGTGGCGGTGGCGGCGGTGGCGGTGGCGGCCACGGCGGCGGTGCAAGTCCTGAGGCGGCAGGTTGGGGCTCCCGCCTGCGGTTGCTGTGGGCGACTATTGGACGGGTGGGAGGTGTGGTGGCGTGTCTGTGTGTGGAGGGGGAGGGGGAGGGGGAGGGGGGGTCAAACGCCAAGCCGCGGCGTTTGATACCCACTGGAATATGTGACAACACAAGTTGGTGTGTGTGTGGTTGTTACAGTGGGCTCCAGACTCCCGAAGAGTAGAGCCATCGGGCCAGCTGGTGACAAGGATGAAAACAAAAGTATTAGGTGGGCGCGGAGTTGTATGGGGAAGCCGTGCAGTGCCTAAATAGGCAATGCGGACAACATTGAGGGGATTTGGACACACATACACACACAGCGCCCTCTTTGTCCCCACAATCGCATCACGTCATCACATGCCCCCAACTTCCCCCTCCTCGCAGGTCGCGGGATTCGACACTGCGGAGGATCATCAGGGCGCTGCCGGTGGCGGCGGCGCTGGCGGCGGTGGGCCAGGCGGCGGCGGCGCCGGCAGCGGTGGGGGCCACGCCGGGCTGATGCCCCACACCAGCGGGCACCCCGCGGGGCAGCCGTACGGCGAGTACGGCGAATACGCAGCGGATTTGGAAGCTGCCGCCGGGCAGACTGTAGCGGGCTCGCATATGCTAGACAATCGGTCGCTAGGCGGCGGCGGCGGCGGAGCTAGTCCGTTCCTAACCCCGGGCATGGGCGGCCCCGACTCGGGTGCGGACGCGATGGTGGGTCTCGGTGGGGCCGGGGTTGCGGCGATCGGTGGCGGTAGCGTCGGTACGCCACCGCCGGTTAGTGACCCATGGGCCGCTAGCGGCGCAGGCAATGGCGGGTACCCCCTGCCAGGAGGTACGGCGGCGCGGGAACGGACCCGTGGTTCAGCGTTGTCAATGACGTACTTCTCCAACGTGCCCCCGCTGCAGCGCGTGGAAGCCGCGTACCCGGCCCTTTGACCGCCCTGCGATAGGTAGTCCATGTGAGGTGAGGACCGTACAGTGCAGGAGGCAGAAATAAGGAACAAACTAATTTAACAAAATATCATTAATGAAAAGGGATTTCATCAATTCGCAGAGGTTCACAATCACGGAACAGCGGACGTTCAGGTAGCTGGCATGGGGAGGGTTTTGAACACAGTTTTCCAACTGCCGTACCCTGCCGTACTACATATCAGCAGCCATTTTCTTGTCAACCCATGCGTATCCTTGAGACCAATGGCTTCCTCAAGAGTACGAGAAGTGGAGTCCGGACCATTATTAAAGAATTGGTCGGGGAGCGTATGATGGTTGATTTGTGATGTATTTGTGCAACACGGCCGCACTGTGATATCTGACAGTCTTATTAAGAGGTAGCGGTTGGAGCGGTTAGAGCGGTTAAAGAGGGCGAACGAGGCTTTTTCGACACGGTACAAAAGCAGTCCGTGTGTGCTGTGCTGGTCTTTGCATGGCATGTACAAAAGCACTTGTAGTATTGCATGGTACTGGCCAAAGTTAGAGGAGAAAAAACATGGTATGTACGACGCATCCATACGGCGTTTGCATAGTGTTGTGGGCGCACTGTGCCGGTAACCCTAAAACCCGTACGTGTACGAGTCCGGATGGAACTGAGTGAGGAAACGAGAGCGGACGGCGGAGCGCCCCCGGCGGCTGCGGAGGCAGCGCTCTGGCGACATCAGACAGAGCTGACACGCGGGCCGCCTCAATCGTGCGGGCGACATGTATATACATATATATGTGTGTGTGTGCGTGTGTGGCTTTCGTTGGCTGGTAGATGACAATTTCAATTGTATTCCCGTCATTGAATTGTCCTCATAAACAATATCCGCAATGCATTGTCCGTATGTATGTATGTATGTATGTATGTATGTATGTATGTATGTATGTATGTATGTTGTTACAGGGTGGTTAACTTCGCCAGCGGCCCCCTTTCCCGGGGCAGTCCCTGCTCTCCCCTGCTAGAGGGGCACCCTAATCCGTCACCCCATCCGACTTCAGAATGTATTCGTTGAGTTCGGCAACTCACCACCAGCATCCAACCAAATCTAGCGGATCAACGGCGCATCAACTTAGTTCCTGGTCAGCTCGCAAGTTGATATTATCACGTCCTACACCGTCCATAAGATGGGGGGCCACCTCCCATTTCATCACTCCTCAAACACCCGAGGAGCCGGCAGGCGGATTTGAACCCGGGTCGACTGGGTCAACTGGGAGCAGAAGTCAGGCCTTAACCTCTGCCAGCCGCCTGCCTGTGTATGTTGTTACAGGGTGGTTAACTTCGCCAGCGGCCCCCTTTCCCGGGGCAGTCCCTGCTCTCCCCTGCTAGAGGGGCACCCTAATCCGTCACCCCATCCGACTTCAGAATGTATTCGTTGGGTTCGGCAACTCACCACCAGCATCCAACCAAATCTAGCGGATCAACGGCGCATCAACTTAGTTCCTGGTCAGCTCGCAAGTTGATATTATCACGTCCTACACCGTCCATATGATGGGGGGCCACCTCCCATTTCATCACTCCTCGAGGAGCCGGCAGGCGGATTTGAACCCGGGTCGACTGGGTCGACTGGGAGCAGAAGTCAGGCCTTAACTTCTGCCAGCCGCCTGTATGTATGTATGTATGTATGTATGTATGTATGTATGTATGTATGTATGTATGTATGTATGTATGTATGTATGTATGTATGTATGTATGTATGTATGTATGTATGTATGTATGTATGTATGTATGTATGTATGTATGTATGTATGTATGTATGTATGTATGTATGTATGTATGTATGTATGTATGTATGTATGTATGTATGTATGTATGTGCCCTATCATGCTTATGATAGGGTCGGACGGATCGGGTCGGGTCGTGGGGGTGACGTACCACCACCAAGGAAGTCACCGTCACCTCACTGCAGCGACGTCAAAGATTCATTCGCATATGGTGACGACGCCAATGATGGGAGTGGGGGTGTTTGAGTTACAGGAGCGCCGCGTGATGTCGTCTTTTGCCTTTGCGATACGTACAGGGCTTTCGGCGGCTTGGGCAGGAAGGACGAACAACAGGAAGGGGGGAGGGGGTGCAGAGGGGCCAGAAATCCCCCAAACGATTCTTGCGCTTAAAGTCGTCCGTTGTCGTATCGATGTTTGGGACCTCTCAAGACGCGTGAGTGATGTCGCAGGTTTAAGAGGGGAGCTGCATATTCCTTTGTGGGCCCGCTTGTACGTGTCTTAATATTATATGTACATTGTCAGGTTGGCCCCTCGCGAGTGGCGTGACAAGTGATTACAAGCGGATGCTGAGAACTTTGGGATATGCTTTTTTGTCAGTTTACTTCCTAACAAGCTAGCAACCGATCTGGTCCGTCACAAAGCTCTGGGACCTCTTAAGAGCCATAGGGCTTTTGATGCAGACGCATGCGCGGCGATGTGCAGTGTGAGTGACGGCAGATGTGTCGCAGGTGGGGACGAGCGAGGATGGTAAACGTCCAATGGGAACGATGGTTGATTATAAATCTCTGAATGGAACGAGGGTGGACGATATGGCGAAGATCTCAGATTGGTATGGCCGCATGACCTGCGAATGAAGGAGCATAACTTACCCGGCAACAGGATTCTTATGTAGGGCGTTTGGATGACCCGTGCGCGTGGTTACTTTAAGCATCTAGAATTCCTAGACCAGGGTAGTATATATAATCGCAGGTATCACCGGAAAACGGAAGAATGTTAAGAAACATGAGAAAAGCCGTTGTCCCCTCCGATATAGCGATTATTACAAATTTTGGGTGCCGAGGTCGCGCAGTGCGCGAATCCTCAGCCTGACAAAAATTTAGCCCTGCCGGACACCCGAAGGGCCGACTACGAGAGGCCCTTACGAAGTGCAAGGTGAAGACCAATCATACAACCGAGGCCATGTTGACCACCTCGAGAAGCGGGCCAGGTAAGTATTCTTAAGAAAGTTGTCGGAACGGTACGCAACCTCATTTGCAGGCCTCTCACCCTGAACGGCATGCGATGGTGGGTCGCTGTATTCCGACCAGGATTCGCTATTGGGCACTTGGACTTCTTATTATATTCTGCAAAAAAGATGTGAGAGCTTCTTTATTATGCGGCCCGTTTGAATGATGCTCATTGGCAAATCCCATGCTGACGTTTGAACCAAATTGACAAGATCACAGGACAACGCGGAAGTTGGTGCTATACTGTGTAACACCGCTAAGGTGGCCCTTAGCTTTGTTACATACTGTGTTTACAACATAATCACATCTAAAATATGACATGGGCTTGACCAGCCATTATCACTTGCCGACGTCTCTCTAGCCAGCGGCTTCTAGCCTCAGTTGTGTACCAACCTCCCAAAGCATGCTATCTCATTAGTCACATGACGCCATTTTGGGACATCCATCGCATGTTCATGACCTCCGTTGAAAACAATTGAATCGAGGACCACAAGGCAGGCCTGTTTCACAAGATCGAAACGCCTATACAATGTGCGTTTACGTTGAAATGTTTATGTCATGCATTCAATATAAGGAACGGTCCTGGTCTCCAAAGGACGGCTCGTGCATGCCCACTTCCGCGAAGGCCCGTACGTGGAGTGCCTGGCCTGCTACCGCGTGTCGCCTTTCGCATGCCAGTTTCTCGCAATCATACCCCCAGCCGGCCTGCGGTCTTTCCTCCTGCTCCATAGCCCTCATTTGTGTTGGCACCTGCACCCGCGAGAGCTATTACTATTGCTTCTCCTTGCACGGCCGCACATTACCTCGCATGGGCATTCCCATCATATGCGCCAGGAAAGTGTTGCGTAACACACCGAGCCCCAAGCGACGTCACAATGGGCACTGGCGCTAACCCCGGTCTGGCCTCTATGAGAGCAGGTACTCAAGCTGATATGGCGAACGACGATAATTACAGTCTGTGTAGGGTGCACGTCCCTAGCATGCATCAACTATGTACGCCAGCATGGCCAGCATCTCAAGGACCGATATCTGCATCGGAGTAATCCGTGCAGCCTTTTGGGAGCGCCATAGCAAAATACACTGTGATGGGGTGAAGGCACTTTAGCCCTGATCAGCGAGATGCTTCCTAACGCCACGCATGAGGAGTCATGATGACAAGATGTCTCTACTAGCACAGTACAACATGTTCTGTTACACTGACCGCCCTCCAAGTGTATCAACATGCGCACCATTAGCGTGCAATGGCACGCAACCGCCTCAAGCGGGTGCTTCGTTGCGCTGTAGCCCAAAGTTAAGCTAATACCATGTCCCAAGTTAACCAAGATTATTAACCTCCTTGCAAGGTTGGAACTGAACAGTTACGTCCGTTGCGTAATGCCGCACAATGCGGTGCTCTTTGCAGGCAGGATTGTGACACCTGTGAATGCGTCACGTAGGTGGGAAGGAGAGACTGACTGGTGCACACACGCCTCACAATGTCCAAGTCTCTTCTTGTCAAGGCACTGTAAGAAGTATACACACCCCGCAAAGGGACACCTGTCGTGTATGAACACGTCATCCTGCATCGCGCGCGGCTCTTCAACGCAAATACTTCAAGTCGCGCCCGGTCCCGGACCACTTACCTCGTGCTTACACAAAACAGGTTCATGGCAAGAGAGCCCACGGCCAACACATCTCAACATGTCCAAGTCGTGTCATCATCTTTGTATCCAATCCTGTCACCAACGCAGCAAAGTGTCATCAGCTAACAGATCCGCACCAATCTTATCGGATCCAAATCGTGCAACCTCATGCCGCCTCGCTCCAGTCCCGGCTGCATCAATGCCGTATATGTCAACAGCCCATACAGGCGAGGGAGCATATGTACTAATACGCGGCGCAGTTCCTCTACAACGCAAATTCAAACACGCTGAACCCAACAGCCATGGATTTGAAGCGATTTACAGCAATCGTACACGACACAGCGCTTCTCCCGCATACCCACAAAGTCCATCCACGACATACCCGCACGTCACAACGTATCCATAGGTCCAAAATACATGCTATTTTTGGCGGTTCCAAACAGCATCCAGTTCAAGAATTAATGACGCCGGCGCTTGATCCGCCGCCTGGGTGGCTCCGCTTGGCCCTGCGTATCTGCAACAGAGTCCGCCCGCAACGACACCTGTGGCCCACCACACGAGCGGCTCGGCAGAGGCTGAAGCCCCTCGGCAGAGGCTTCCCCTCCGCCGTTTACAAACTCGTCAGCTGCCTCTTCACCGGCCCCGCTGCCGCCCGCCGAGTCGGCGTCACTAAGTCGGCTGCGTTTGCGGCTGAGATGCGGCATCGGCTGCACGGACACGGCCTGCTGCTCCTCGTCCTCCTCGTCCCCTGCCTCCACGTCCTCCGCTTCCCCGCGGTCCTCGCCATCCTCCGCCTCCCCCTCTTCCAGGTCCTCTTCCCGGGGCTCAGCCCCGCAGCTCTCACTTGCCGCCAGGCTTACTCCTCGTGAAAAGGACCTCTGGTTGACTTGTGCTCCTGCGGCCGGATCCTCCTCCTCTTCCTCCTCCACCTCTTCCCCTTCCTCCGCGGCTTCTTCTGCCGCCACCTCGCCGTCGTCGTGCGTTGCTGCGTGATCGCCGTCCTCTTCTCCACCATATTCAGCATCACTCCGCGCCGCCAGGCTCCCCGTCTGCTCAGTCAGCGCGGCCAGGCTCAACGTCACTCCATGTGTCCGGGACACGGACGGCACTGGCCTTGTGCCACCGCGCCTGGCGGCAGGATCTGGGGGAACGCGCTTCCCAGGTGTGCGCCGAGCCGGCGGCGGGAGCTCCTCCTCGGTCGGCAGCACAGCCGGGGTTCCATAACCCTCACCCTCGCCCTCACCCTCGCCTGCCACCTCAGCGTCCTCCTCCTCGTTCCAATGAGTGTGCGCGTCTGCTCCGACTTCCTTGCTGCCCCCTTGGGCCCCGTCATCGCTTCGCATGGCGGAGCCCACACCACCTGTGACCGCCCGCCACCGACGCCGGCACCGCAACGGGAAAGGGTTCAAATACGACATCAGAAATGCTATCTCGCTGTGCACGTAGCACCTTTTCAAGTTCGCAACTGAGGCCTAACTGAAGGAGTGCGCACATTGGCCTTATAGTGACAACGACGTCGAAATACGTGGGCGGCGTCCAACAACGGAAAATCTGTAACAACGCTGTCCATAGCCCTCTGCACGTCTGCAGCCATATAAAGGAAAACAGGTCTGCCTGTCCAGGAACAGCTATTGTGCGCCCTTGACTTGCCTTGTGTTACCGTGCGTGCCGTGCCGTGTTACACGCACACACACACACACACACACACACACACACACGCACACGCAAGGTGCCGGGGCATGTCCCTGAACGTCAAGGCGCAAAAGCAGACCTCCTCAGAAACATCACGAAGCGCACCCACATGGCTTGCAGCGCTCTCACTTCGTTTGCCCCATCGCACGATATGCACCCACCTGACGCAGTCCTCATACGGCTTTGGGTAATCGCACGGAGGTCCGACGGCTCGCCACCGTAGTAGCCGCCACGGCCGTCGCCCTCCAGCTCCTCCTCCCAAGGCGGCATCATCGCCCCATGTCCAACTCCAGCTCCCTCCTCCTCCTCCACATCACCATCATCATCTCCCACCTCCATGCCTGGGTCCAACTCGCTGACGGCACGTAGCGATAGATGCTGCTGCTGCTGTGATGACTGCAGCGATGGCTGCCCCGCGGAAGGACCTCGGGATTGGCTCCGCGATTGGGACTGCGAGTGTGTGTTGGCCAGGCTGTCGAGGGGTCCGGCGTCCACATCCACATGACGCAGGCCCGCCACTGCACGACCCGCCCCGGACCTGGTGCCTGACCTGGCCTGGACGGCCTGGCCGCCACGGCCGTGCCCGTCCGCTTTCTCCAAGTGGTCGTCCACCTTGTCCTCCCCCTGCTCCTCTTCCCCTTCAGCTACAATGACCGCAGGTCTAGCAACGGCGGCGGCGGCTGCTGCTGCCTACGTCGGACACACGTTAACCCATCCAGGGATCAACCAGGGAACTGGTTTGGGACAGGTGTGGGATTTTTGCTTCACACTTTGGTCAATTATCAATCATTTTCTTATGGACTTCTGGAAACCTTTTCCAAGTAGCATGGCAAGGTAATGGACTCTGTTCATATTCGTCCTATTACTCACGCGATTTGGGATCCGCACTTCGGCCAACCAGCCGTTGAAGCTTTCACACGAGATAATGGGGGAATTTCCCAGAACTTGGCGAGTTGGAGTTGCTGGTCTTCCCCTGGGATCTCGGAACGGCGGCAAGAGTGCCAAGATAGAATAAGGCATGGTACTGTTCCGCCATGACGTAATAGCCTCGTACGTAAGCTATGTTTCCGTTGATAAGCTTTGTTTCCCTGTTCTTACGTAGCGAGCCGTGCATGCGGACGTGCCATAGCCGTAGCAACAGCCGGCTCGGGGCCATGTCAGTCCACGGCAATACCAGAATAGCAAGAAACTCCCCAAGCAGCAACACTTCAAAGGAAATGGTACTTCACGACGGCACCCTAGCCCACCTTGAGAGCAGCTGTAGGTGCCTTTGACCTGCCGCGGCCCTGCTGCTGTTGTTGCCGTTGTTCTTGCCGGCCCGCCTGTTCGTCATCAGCTTTTGCTACCAGCCTGCGGGTTGCCACCGGCAGCTGCTTGGGTACTGCTTCTTCCTCGTCCTCCTCCTCCTCCTCAGGTTCCACAGCCTTTCTAGGTGTCCGCACTGCCTTGCGCAACCAGGCGCCCTCCTCAGGCACCGGTTCCGCTGCAGCCAGGGCAGCCGCCTCAGGGTTCTTTGGCGCCTGTGGCTGGGCGGCCTGCGCCCAATCCGCTGCTGGCGGCTCCGCCGCCTCCACCTCCTCCTCGTGGTGGCGCTCGTGGGGCCATGGCGCGAAGGAGATCTTGCGGTTGCGTGCAGCCTTCGGCGTTGTCGCTGACGGGCCCCTGAGGGCACGTGGCGCCACGCGGCCCTTAGCGGCCTTGCCCTGCGTACAGGTCAAGGTGCATTTAACGGCGAAATGGGCAATCAGAAGCCAGCGGAAGAGGGGAAGGGGACGTGGAGGTTCATACTGACACAGAAATGTGCAAAGCGTTTCTACCCAGCGGCAACGGAGTAAATGACGAAAGACTCGAAAGCGGCATGTCCGGGATAGGAGCCCTTCGGTGTGGTAAAAATGGTAAAAATTGGTAAGATTGGTAAACCTGGTAAATAAACGGGTGAAAAAGTAAAAGCATTTTTCGACTTTATGGCCACATAGCCGCACGTAGCCGCCGCATAACCCATCCCATTCCTGCACACACAACTGCGGACCGCCATACACACAACCGAATAGCAGCTCATTCCATTCCCCACCACTCTACCTTTAGCAGGTTCAGGTAATGATACATGGGCGCCCAGTCTGGATCGCCACGGTCATGTGCCAGATCTTGCACGGCGCCAGGAACAGTACCAACATCCGCCCCGGTCGCTTCTGCTGCCGTGTTGCTGCCGTGGAGCCGCCCCTCCAGCTCGCTGACCAGGGTTGCCGCATCCGCGGGCGCCAGCTTGGGCACGAAGGAAGCGGCTCCCCAGGCCAGGATGGCCAGGTTGTTGGGTGCGTCGACGAATGCCTCAGCGGTTAGGTCGCGCAGGATGTGCAGCAGCTCGGAGCGGGATGTGCCGTGGCCTGGGGTTCGGTTAGGTAAGGTTCGGGTGAGGCGGAGGGCAAAAGGGTAGGCATGTTGGTGGGCGCGCGGAGGCGGGAGAGGAGGCGAAGAGGAGGGGAGGGGCCATGGAGATGGAAATGGATATTATGGTCCGCACCTGGCCTGCATATGGCTCCCCTCGCCCCCGGGGGTACCACTCTTCATCCCCAGCGACGTTGGAAGGAGGAAGCGTTGTCACCCGAATACGAAAATTGCGTCATCTGGGTACCTAACTTCCAGGTTCACTTGTCTTTATACATAGACACATACATATACATAAACACATACATATACATAAACACATACATATACATAAACACATACATATACATAAACACATACATATACATAAACACATACATATACATATATGTACATATCCACCCGAGGGATAGACACGTACCTGCATACATGCTGGCGATGTGCTTGGCGAGTTCCGAAAAGCGCTGTAGTGCCTGTTCCTCCTCATCCTCCCCCAGATCCCCCGCGGCGGTAACCGAATCCCAACACTGGGGGCCGGGGCGGAGCAAAGTGAAAAGGGAGAGGGGAGTGGGTATATAACCGGAAGCGATGCAGCAGAACGTGATGCCGTATGGGTTGGATGTTGGGGGTATATCACCAATGACGGAATGGAAAAGGATATCGGCGGTGAATAGATGGAATAAAGCGGGATATACGGAATACAATACGGAGGCAGCTTCGGGGTAGCGGGAAGGTTTGGCAAGGCAGGCAGCGTCACGCAAGGCCAAGGCCAGGTTCAAGTTATGTAAGCAGTGGCGACGCTTCCGTAAGAGTCGCAGCCAGGTGAGTACAGCGGACAGTGAGGGGTTGCCACGGACCGTATACATCTCACCAGAGTGACTCAGTCTAGTATGGCATCTGAAGTCAGGCTAGAGCAGTCAGCGGGATAACCAACTTCCCCCCAAAAGGCCCCTTTCCTACCACACCTGTCGAAGGGCGCCAGTGTAGATCTGCGGCATCTCGCCGTGCGGTCGCGACGCCGCCATCTCACGACACACATCTCGGATCAGGTCCGCCACCTCCGGCCCATGGCTGCAGAACTGTTGTAGGGGACGATCACAGATAGGACGACAGAGGAACGCCAGGCACAGCACAGCGGCCACACACGGTCAAAGAGTCGATCCGAAAACACACGTGTGCGGTGTGTCTGCTATGCGCCTGCGCCACTTAGACGCATTACACAGCATAAAACAGTCATTGCACAATACTCTGAACAGTATCGCTATGGCCACACACACCCAGCCAACACTGTACCCGACCCAACCACCCCAGAGCCCACCCTAGCCCAGCCAACCAGCGTGCCTGATTCGCCACCCTACCCTAGCGCACCCATCCGACGCACCCTACCCTTACGCTGCCCCCTACCTCGGCCACAAGGTGGATGGCAATGGTGCGGTGACAGCCGCCGCACACGTCATGCGCCAGCAGGCGGCCCAAGCAGCCCACCGCAGCCATCTTGGTCGCAACTGCCGCAGTCCGCCGCGCGCGCTTGTTGGCGGCAACTGAAGCACCGCGCGGGCCGGCGGCCAGATTGTCCAACAGGTCATCTTCCAGGTCTGGAGAAGGCGGCAGTCGAGTGAGGTCGGGCACAGTAGGCCTCAGCAAGCACCAGGATTCACGATACGAGGCAGCAGGCAGCCTACATGCTTGTACGATAATCTCTCTATCTTCATGAAGACCATCGTAGTCAACGTGGCCGAATAGCTATGGTGGTCCGTCTCGCCAGGGCCCCAGGGCCAGGGCCAGGGCCGGTATTGATGCCTGCCCAACCAGGACCAGCAAGAGGTACCACAGAGCCGCTTGCCAGCAAGTTATATGGTGCTGCATGCACCTAAGCCTCCCCTTGAGCTAGCTTGTCGTTACCCACAAGGCTGCGATATGCGCACGTACCTGCCTCGCCGTCCTGCTCCCCGTCCTCCTCTCCATCCTGCTCCTCGTCCCCCACTGCCGTGTCCTCCTTCCGGAGCACCTCGCTGCAATGGCGCCACATGAGGTCCGCCACCTGGCTGCTGAGCGTCAGCAGAGATACCGGCTCGATGGCGGTGCCCTGCGACGCGAACGAGGCGGGAAACGGAATCGCAGGGTAACATGAGGAAATGCGGGAACGAAAACCCCTGAGCAATTCAACAAAACTCTTGGCAGTAAGTCAACCGGCTGCGGGTCAGCAGGCTGAGGCACACCGGCTGGATGGCGGTATCCTGCCAGCCGGGCCCGAACCGGGCCAGGCCGCGTCCAGGCGATTCGCGGCAGCGCGGTGCAATGGAGCGGAGGCAATGTGAAGTAGGGAGGGCAAGGAGAGGCGAGGAGGCAGTAGGGTAAAGGCAAGTAGGGGGGCCCATGCGTGAAAGCAAAGCAATGAGACGGTGAAGAGGCGTGAAGTAGAACGCAGGAGTTTAAGGAGGACACACGGATCCTACCCTAAAGCACAAAGGATGTGGGCTCGATCTTGATAGATTGAGCCCACAGCAGACAACCCCACTGGTCGAGCCCCATACCTTCCAGGCCTTGGATCCGAACACCAGAGCAACGTCACTCAGCACCCGAAATGCCACGTCCTGCAGCACGGCGATGCTGCCATCCACGCCCTGAGCCCTCGCTTGCATTGCGCCGCCGCTGCCGCCCTCGTCTTCGAGCTCCAACGTCGCGTCGCTCTGCGCGGCTGCGGCCGCGTGCAGGGCGACCATGTGCGACAGCAGGGCGTCACGTGCCTGCTGCAGCTTCTGCACCGCGGACTGCTGCGCTGCCGCAATGGCAGCATTGTCTCCACTGGGACCTGGACCTCCGGCAGGTAACGCGGCAGCAGCTCCCGGGTCGGTGTAGACCTGCGTCGTGGGGTGGTTCAAATGTGGGCTACCATGTAGGCATGACGGCCATGGGATCCAACATATAAGAAACAGAAATACGTTTCCTCCTTGGCACATAGCTAGATTCGTGGAGAGTGGTGGAGCCCCGGCAGGTTGTGTGACATAATCTTGACAGAGCGGTGGCTACACTCCGAGCCGTCCAGGCCCTGTAGTACATCGCGTCGCGCGACCGCAACTCGCCGACCTCGGGAACAGGATACGACAGCAGAACCCCTGCCGTCCCCGGACCCACATGCAGACCGCGAATGCTTGGCGGTCATGCAAATCCCAGTTCACCAATTCCAGGCACGCTTAAAATTTACAATCGCGCCTGGCGCACTAAAGACTTCAGAAAAACACCCGGCCCTGGTGCATCTAGGCTTCAGAAGTCAGCTCACCTGGTGCATGTTATTCAGCAACACGATCAGCTGTGTCTCCGCCAGCAGACCCGTGAGCTCGGGCCCAAGGAACCGGCCCGAGCCGCAGCCGGCAAGTAGCTCGTCCACTGCATCATGTACCCGTGGGTCAGCAGCCAGCGTGGCTCCACCGCGGATCTGCAAACACGCGGTTCGTAAGGCCAGCGAGATGGGAAAGCATGTCCGTCCTCCCTCAAGGACACAAGCAGGGCCAAGCAAAAACATTCGTCTTGCAGATGGATGTAGGTACGCTGTCGCTGACAACACCTTACCTGGCGAAACCTTGCATGCGCGTTTCGTCACGTTTCTTCTATGCATTTCATGCGACGACGCTCGCGCTGCGCTTTGGGATGTGCGTTTTCTAACCAAAGGCAAGACACCACCATGTACGAGCGCCGTACAAACTTAAGAGTCAGCCTTACCAGCACCACATGTGCTCTCAGCAACGCCACCCGTAACGCCACCAACTCCTCCACATTGACGCCCACATCGCCGTGTGCAAGGTCTAACACCGCATCCGCCAGGTCTTGCTCGTCCATAACGCGCACTGCAGCCGCCGCCGTGGCGAAGCCCGCCGCCAGCTGATCGCACACCTCCCGAAGGACCACATCCGCGGAGGGCTGTGATATGGTAACATATGTGTACCAGGAGCAGCAACGACCACACGGAAGGCACCAACAGCGTTATCAACAAGGCGGGGCAAAAGCGTGGCGGCGATAGCCAATGCCCCATGAATAGCAGTAACAGCAGCAGCACCAGCACCAGCAGCAACAAACCGGGGCCAGGCCGCATACTCCAGTAATTATCCGGGGTCTGGGAGTGGTAAACACGCACATTGTACCTGCACCCGACCATCTAACACATGTGCGTTTACTTCAATGTTTGCCAAGTTTGATACCTAAGCGGAATCGGAGGCTGTAAGTCAGTCACACAAAACGAATACGGTATCAAGCGAGAAGAGACCAGGGAGAAAACAGCCTCCAGCGTAGCGGGCAACCTCTCACAACCGCTTTGCCCTTCGAGAATCAAAGCGGCACCTCGCCCTTTTATACAGTCCTCGTCACGTCCACCCAGCCCACCTGCAGCGCCGGCGGTCCTGAGGCCGCCGCATACAGCAGCGTGTCCGCGCATTGTGTAAGCAGCTCCGCCGCCATGCCACGGGTCGCCAGCTGCTCCCCCACCAGCCCCAGCAACGCCCGCCAGCCCGGCTCATCACCCCGCAGACTGAAGAGCTCCAGCTTGAGGTCGCGGGTGAGCGCCACAAGGGCGGAAGCCTGTGTGTGTGTGTGTGTGACACGGGGATGGCTAAGGATACGGTTCGGGCGAAAGGTGCCACCCAGAGCTAGCTATACGGGTTACACTTCCCAGAACATGGGACAAATGCCGTGCCGCAGCTGAGCGACAGCCAGTGCCACGTCCACGTTATCCCACGCCCACGCCATCGGGGGAGCTTCACGGCGGCTCGACGATGTCCATGCCCATGCCCGGGGCACCTCAGCTCAAGGCAGCCACGTGCTTGATTTCTTTATGCAAACAAAACCTTCAGCCCAACAGGGGCTGAATGTGACGTGGCGTATTGCACATTCCGTGTGGAAGCCGTGTATTACCAGTATTACAACCAATGCACAGGTCTCTCAATTCTACGTACCACACACCATCTATCTACACGCCACGTTCACCACCTTCGTGAACGCAGAGGCATGAAGGTGAACATCCTGGTCTCTCAAGTATCAAGCAATCCCCAGCTACGTACCACGTTCTCGTCAGTCTGGTGCCGGCGGAGCAGCCTCGGCAGCGCCGTGAGCAACACCTGGCTGGCTTCCAGAAGAACTTCACTGTCGGCAGCCAGAGCGCGAGCGCGAGCACCCTGAAGGGTATCCGAACAGGGCGCGGTAAGCTCGTGCTCAATGCAATGTTTCTTAGTCGGTTTGTTTATCGCGAGTTTGTTAACCTTGTTAACGGGACGCCGTACCGAGCAGTGTGCTGGAGAATGTTGGTATGCTGTCGCACATGTGTTACGCACGAACACACACCCACATGTACACACACACACCAGCTGCACTATACAGCCAATAAATGCGCACGGTGCATGCACAACAACGATTGAACCACCAATAACATATGGACACAGGCATGTAAGGCATTTGCACATGACGGAACAACATGGCATGGCATGCCCAGGCGTCTCATGATAAAGGAAGCGGGGCACCGCTCGATCGAAAGCCATTTGATTGTGGACATACATAGGCCCTAGAACCCTAGCGACACCCTTCACTTCCACAGCATCCTGCTCTTGGACAGGAAGTAACCGTAAAACCTCGTATCGATAACTGACCCCAACGGAATCCCCGCGGTCCCCGCACTGCTTTCGCATGTGACCCATTAACACAGCGGAACGGTAGCTATGATCACCCACCCTCGCCCACCTGTCGCCGCATGGCTGCGCCCCCTCGGGTGTCCAAAGCCGCTGAGGCCCCGTTACGCGCGCGTTTCACGGCAGCCGCCAGCAACTCGCTCAGGTGCGCCAGACCCGTGGGTCCCCAGATCTGCGCCAGGAGGTCATCTGACAAACAGTCCACCATGAGCTTCCAGGACCGGAGGACGGGCAGTCTGCCGCAAGTACGGGCACAGGCACGGGCACGGCCAAGAAGGGGAAGAGCCAGGAACGTGCCACAGACAGCGTAGTAAAAGCAGCGAGGTAGAAAATGTGAAATGCCATCTGTACTCCAAATTTCGGCTGCAAATTGCCTTGCCTACCTCGTTTGACGTCAACACAGCAAATTCTTACGATACACATTATTATTAAAACCATTACCACAGCCCGTTGAAAAGCCAAACCCCGGCATGGCATGGCATGCTTTAGACTAAAGCTTTAACAGTCCAGGACACCGCCATAGCCGTGCCTTGCGGTTGACAGACGGCCCAGAAGATCATACGCCAATTTCAAGCTGGCCCCCGCCCCCAACTAGCCATTGATGTTTTTCACATTTCCCCTGCAACTCCACCTCCTCACCTGTCATAGAGCGCGTCAACCAGGTCTTCCACCAGCTCCGGTTCCAGGGGTGCCGTCGTTGCAGCGCTCGTAGTGCCTTAACGGCACCAAGTTAGCAAAGAGCATGAACACATACGCACGCCGGCACAAAGTCCGTTGATCCGTAGCTACAGACAGTAGCCTTGCCTTGCACTTGCGAAAAGCATGACAATCATAATCACTAGTGGCGACGTTGCAATAAAGAAACAGGACAGAACAAGAGCTTTTTATTTCTTTCTACACAAGAGTCAAGAGGTCAGGAAAAGGCGCTTGAGAGGATGCCATGCCCCATTCCACCACTACGCTAACCAGCGCGTTGAATTGTGCGATGTATTCATACCTGCCGCTGAGGGCCCCGTCCGCATCGACGACTGGCCGGTCTGCAGCAGAGACATCATCTCCAGGAGTGCCCCGAGCATGGTGGCCTTCTTCCGCTGCTCGGGATCCGACAACAAGGACACCGCCGCCGCAGCGGCATCCCCCCCCGCCGCCGCTGCCGGACCGGCGGCTGCGATTCCAGCAGCCGCTGCTGCCGCTGTCTTGGATCGTCCGCTCCGGCGAGAGCCGCCCGCCTTGACGGCCTCTGTCGCCGCTGCAGCAGCGGCGGCGGCGGCATCTGCCGCCTCTTTGGCACGCTGTGCATACCGCTGGTGGACCAGGAACAGTGTAGAGGGAAAAGGTTCACCAGGATTAGCAAAACACACGCGAGTAAAGGCACTAGCAGGTCCCTTTTCGTTTACAAGGCCATACGAAATACAAGTTATATACAATATACAAGTTATACGAAATTATTCATTAGTCCGCACGATTGGTCAAAGCCCGGGGGACATGGACTATATATACCCCTCAATGCTATAGAGCTTACGTCTTACGTCCCGAATACTCCATAGTTAACTAACAAGTGCACAGTCAAATATCAAAATGCAACGTGACGTAGCGTAACCAAACGAACCAAGGCGCTGCACCGAACGAAGCGGGAATCCTGGATGCTCACCGCCTCCAGCTTGGCCGCGTCCTCCTGGAGCAGCTGGCCGGCCAGCTCTGCTGCCGACCGCCGAATAGCGGGCAGCTTGTCAATCAGCAGCCGGTAGCAGTCCGCGGCAGGTAGCTGGGCGTCCGTGAGGGCGCCCACAGCCACCAGCCGGGCCAGCAGCCGCACCTGCAGAGCTCCGGGGTCACGGAGTCGGGAAACAAACGAACTCAGACGTGATCAGGCGGCAGGGTTGGGATATCATAACGAGCAAATGCGCTGCCCGAACCAGGTAGCTGCTGTACAATGCTGTGAAGCCATATGGCAAGCAGCTAAAACACGCGGGATAGGTGGGCGAAGGAGCAGATGCAGATGCAGATGTAAGTGCAGGCCAGAGTGCAATCAAATCGTGTGCGGTAGTCGCCGGGAAGGGTGTGTGTGAGCTTGCAGGGTCAACTGCCAATGCCCAAGCATCGGAAACATCCAACCAGGCATGCCGGGCGTGGGGCCCCACGCACATGGATTGGTAAGGGGGTAGCCAGAGAGGAAGAGAGACCCTGTGGAACCTGCCAGTCCATTACACTACGCTTGTGCGGGTGGGGGAAAGTGATCCTCTGGCCCCTTACCACACACACCCCACACACATGGCGAGGGTCTCAGAGGCCTGTCCTACAGCATCAAGACCCGCACGCAAACCCCACGCTTGCCCATACCGCTGCGTTCCTCCCCGACCATGGCAGGATATCAGGCTGCGCGAGCTCTGCTACGCAAGCCGCGAGCTCTCATGCACCCTCACCCCAAGCACAGCTGCCTCCTCGTCTATATCATACGGCAGTTCCTTGAAACGACCCGTGAAGCGTCCGATAAAGTCGTGCAGCAGCGGCAAGTGAGGGGGGATCTCGACGCGTGTCCCGGGCGCGGCGAGCGGCGCGTTGGGCGAGCTTCCCAGCAACTCTAGCAGACGGCTGATGGCCACGACACGAACCCCAGGGTCCTGCACAGGAGGAGGTGAGAAGCGACGCAAAAGCGGCTGTAGAAGCAGCTCTGAGCCGTAGGGAGTGAAGTAAAATTAACGGTTCTCCTTGGAAACCCGCCAGAGAGAGGAGGAGCAAAACCGCAAGAAAGTTTTGCTTGACTGCCTGCATCAAAGGCAAAAGCTCGATCCGCTGCCTGTCATGGACGCATTCGAGGTTAGGCCCGATCCAATTGCGACCAGCGTTGGCAGGGAGAGAAGTATGAGGTTCTCTCCCTTTGCACAACGTGGAATGGTAGAGAAGGCGCCGCTATTAGCGATACCCCCCGCCACCTTCAAGCTCTCCCTTCTGTTTTGGCATAACGTTACAAACACGAACCCGTGTCCTAGCGGGACCGGCGACAAAAACGCTATGTCAGTCGCACGGTGGGCCACGCACCGCGGCTCACGGAAACCAATGCTGGGTTGGACTACCCGCTTGGGTTAAGCTACTCATGAGCCATCCTTGCTCACCAATTCTGCTGGCGACTCAGGCTATTAAACAACGCAGTACCCTCACCCTCACACCGCTATGAGGGCGCACGGGCCCACGAAAACAAATGCAGCATGGAGGGACTCCCAGGCCGACCACCTACCCTATCGCTGAGTGCCCATGCCACGTATTTGAGGTAGGAGTGCACCATGAAGGTGGCGGGCAGCAGCCCGATCCAGCGGCCCACCAGGTCGACCACCACGGCCCGGATCTCGGGGCCCACGTCTCTGTCGACACCGTTAACGGCGCAGGGCAACAACGTCAAGTAAACGCAGGGCGACAGCATGCATGCAGGGAATTGGAGGTGCGGGGTGGAGGAAGGGCACATAGCGGGGTGGAGGAAGGGCGCGAGGGTAAGCACGCCAGGGAAAACGTTGAACGATTTTAAGAGGAGATGAATGGCCATGGAATGAGCGTGAACATGGGCTGCACAGCAACGGTCGAAGGGTTGGGTTTCGGAGCATCCACGTCTTTATGATATGGGTTGCATAAGGAAGCTCCGGTGTGGAGCTCAACCAGCTTACTGCTACTGCTACCGACCGGATTGTGCGGATTGGTTCGCAAATCGCAAAGCTCGTTTGTGAAGCGTGGTCGTACCGCACACAGGGCTAAAGCTTGTTCCGCCCCTTGTCATAGCGCTGGGGTCCCAGTCGCTTACCTAAACCGCACGGCGAAGACCGACGTAAATGTCGTCTCCAAGAGGGACTTGAGCTGTCGGATCTGGCTCTGAGCAACTTCCGCCTGGCGCTGCAAGCTCTCAATCACACGTTTCTGCAAGGGGCACGAAATTGCACAATGCTGTACAAAGCCGTATGTGGCCTCACTGACACCGTACAGACGAAGTGGCCGCTTGGCAGGGTCAAGAACCAGCCAGTCCGAGCTGGGCAGCCCTTTTCGTTGCTAGAGTTAAAGCCTCGCCAGCCTCAGCCAGACCTCCGCTAACGACAGAGCCCAAACAGAACCAACAAAATCCAATCCGATGACATGAGCCACGCCCGTACGAAATGAAGCTCAGCCCACTCGTACGCATGGACTTCACACTTACCGCATACACGCCTCCATCGAATCCTGACGCATGCACTTTTTCTCACACTCCAGAACATATTGCAACAACGGTGTAGCTAGCGGGCACAGTCAGTCAGTCTCATAGCGGAGCACTCCCATAGTGAGCACTGCCTCGCACCGCCTGCTCCATCATGCCGTGCGGTCTCTACCGGCCGGCTCCTTAAGCCCCATCTATCCAGGACTGTAGCACAGCCCACCCGCACCCGCGACACCATCCCACTCACCTTGTCCGCGCCGGCCTTCTTCTGCTTCTGTGCCGCTTCCTCCTGGAGCCTTGCCGTGCTGATGGCATCTGCCAACTGCTGCTGTGCACGCACCCAACCAGTCACCAGCAGCCCGGCTGTGAGAGTGGCCGCGTGCCGGTAGCCGCGGATCTTAGTACTGCAGGGTCATCCAGGGCCAGAGGATCAGCAGTACATCCAGGGCCAGGACCGAACGAAGCAAGGTGTCTTGGCCGAAGCCGGGGTTAAGTGGCGCGAGACAGCAAAGTTCAACAAGAAGGCAATGTTTGCGTGTCTTGGTGCGATGGTATTATACATCATTGGCAGCTCGAAACCATCATCTTTGGTGGCGTAACAGCAACGCAGGGTGGGCCGATTGGTAGGCCGATAGTGTACAATCAGCGATGGATGGTTTCAGCTATGGATGGCAGCTCCCAGGATAATAACTATGGACCCTTTCCCCCCAGCTCACACGCTCAAGCCGATGAGCAGATTGGTCAGCCGGTCACACACGTGGTCGTCCAGCAGGTGGCCAGCAGCGTGCAGCTCCGAAACCAAAGCGCTCCAAAAGGCCTCGTACGCGGACCGAAGGTTCCGGAGCCTCTTGTCTCTGAACGGCTCCGATCCACCCTCCTACGCGTGCAATTTGAAAAAAGCGCACGAGAGGGCAGCCGGGTGAGTACCCACCTGCAGCGGCCCGAGTCATACATACACTGCGCGTACGAAGTCCTCGATTGCCGCATCGTGCTTTTTTCTCGCGCCCAAATACCACGAGCAGCACATCCCCATAGCCTGCTAGGTGAGCAAGGGACTGTCGTATGTGGCTGACGAACACTAATGTTAGGATGTGACAAAGTGAACGGTTAGCGCGGCTGACCCTGACCCTAGCCGGCTGTTTATCCGTCATTGTCACTGTTGCAGGCAGGCATCCTAGTGAGGTCATGTCATGGTACTCAAGGCAAAGCTCGGGTCAGGGTTTGAAGGTTTCTGAGTTAAAAACCCCGAATCCCCATGCTGGGTTGCTTGGCTGCTTATAGCCATCGGCAGCTGGTTCCCACTTCAATTTCGCAAACAGTGGCCCCTAACCTTCCCTTACAATGAAGATATCCCGCAACCGAAGCAAAACTTTCCGCCTCCCCTTCCGAGTCCATCTAAGCATCCCCATGTCCACACACCCGCACAATGGTATCCACGAGACGCTTAATTACGTCGTCCATTTCCCCCGACTCCAGGTCGTCCACACTGACGCCGCTTTCGCACCCGCCGGCCTGCCCAGCAGCCAAGTCAGAGGAGGACAATATGCTTTGACGGTGTGTCCAGGGACAAGACGCGGATACATCATAAGCATCATGGACGAGGGTCGTAATGAGATCATTGTGCTGCTGCGCATGGTGCCCGTTATCTCAAGCCCAATGCCCCTATGGCGCTCAAGTCCAGCGCCCGACCCACATCGTGACTGACTTCTTCACAGGCTCACCTGCACAATCATGGACATCAGCTCCGACGTGGCTTCCAGTTTGTCCTGGCAGTACCGATCGACCCACTCCTATGGGGCGGTAATTAACGGAATGGGAAGGATAAAGGGCGTGGCCTTGAGCGGAGTCGCGTATGACCGCCGGGGAGCAATGGGGAATATGGTGCTTGGGAAGGGGCCGCATGCACGATCACAAGAACGATGCTGCCAAGCCATGCAACGCGTACACGCGTACAGAAGTATCGATGCTAGTGCGAGAACAACGTCAAACCACGCGACCCAAATTGCGATGCCAACCCTAGTGCCCACCTTAGCCGCACGCTCCACTGATGCTGGGTGCTTGGATATGATGTCTGCGGTTGGGCAGGGCAGCGAACAGGTCATTCAGGCTTCCTGTTGTTGGCGCAAATTGCGGACTAGCAGATCGGTTAAGGAGTCACGTCCGACATACCCCATAGCGTCAGGTTGTGCAGCGATGCCAGAGGCGCGGCCTTCCCGCGTTTCGGCGCAGGTTTGGGCTTCACCGCCGGCGCAGCAGCGGCGGCAATACTAGAGGGACCAGGGCCTGCCGCGTCCGGTGCTGCGGCAGCTGCATGATCCCCCTGATTCTCTGGAGCTTCCCCCTCCCCTCCTTTCGCAGCATCGTCATCCAAAGATGCCTGCATCAACGGAAACAACGTGCCCGATGGAGGGCAGCATTGGCTTTCAGTTTGAAGGTATAAATCTTTCGGATGTAATGCTGGATTTCCTTTTCTTGTGGAAGCATCTAACCACGTGGGTTTGCTAACCACGTGTTAACTTCAGGTTCGTGGACTTGCAAGCCATGGTGAAAAGACCCATCTGAGAGGGGTTTGACAGCCCCCGGACGCTCCCATCGTCACGGCATATAGGACAGCACACGGCCTAGGCTCGGACCCAATAAATTTTGTTCCGCAGGTCCATCTGCCCCACACCTTGCGTTTTTTTTGTGCTGCTGTAGGACTCCGTCGCTGCCCCGCGCGCTGCCCCGGGCTTCGTTGCTTCTTTTGCGGCGACTTGCTGGTCCCCTTCCGGGGCGTAGGACTCTTAGGTGCCTCAGCAGCAGCGAAATCCTCATCCCTGTGGTCGTCGCCGCTGCTGCTGGACTCCTCGCTGGAAGAATCCCTGGTGCGGCCGAACCAGGAAGGTTGCTTTGGTCAGCAAACCCGTCTGCCTCATCAATGACTATAGCATGAAAATCCCCTGGAAGTCTATAATCCTTCAAGCACGTTCGCGGTTCCAACTGTTGCTTACTCTGGCTTCTGGGCCTTGGCTGACGCTTTCTTCTCAGCTGCCGAGAGCCGGCTGCTGCGTCGCCGTGTTTCGGCCATTAAATGATGCTCACTCAAAAAAGAATTGTGTGGGAGCCTCTGCTAGCTGCCTGTCAGTAATTTCGGTGAAGTGGGCGGGAAACCTTGGACTCCACGCAGAATCACAATAGTCAAACGTCAGTAGCTGTACGCCAAATAGAAATAGTTTGTCTTTGAACCATGAAAGATTTTCCCTAAGGACTGCATGCTGACCGTGCTGAGCATGAAAGTACGACATTGGTTCCAAATGCGATGGCCGAGCGAAGGGCTTTGCCACACTTAACCTTGCCTGCGCGACTTAAGGCCCAATTAAATACTGTGCTTAACTTCTTCAGAAATTGATGCACGTTTTATTTTCAAGATTAGCGGGAGACGCTCTATTGCAGCTATGGACGGGTATCTTATCCACAACGGTGGTAGGCTCTTGGCTTTTGGACCGATTATCGAAAGCAGCTGTTCAGGTCGCGGTCTTAGTGACGTCCATCGATGAGCCGTGCGCATACTGTCACAAGTCAGAGTTTCATCTTTGCGTAACCTCCACGTGAGGGATTCACGCAATTCGACAGGACGTGCGCAATGGCGTGACTGCCCGACCTTGCCTGACAGGAACAGAATGGAGCGTCTGATCAGGCAGAGGAAAGAGAACCCCTTGGCAAACAGGGAGAGTATACTACCGGGTAAGCGGGAATAGCCTCTCTTGAAATTCCGCCCAGACACCTATCCTCAATGGCCGCAAGGATGGCCTCATGAGTTCGAGGTTATTACTGGCGGTGGGACGACAGAGCCGGTTACCGTACTGATACGAAAGGTTCGCGCCACACCTTTCGCGGGTACCCCAAAAATATAGCTGGAATCTTTCGTTTTGTTACACCAATTCGCGAGGGCTGTCAGTTTTTATGGCACACATTTGTTTACATGAACACACATTTCGCGGGGCTCCAGGGAAGCCACAACAAGGAGCGACAGCATCAAAGCTCCCAAACTGCTGGACATATCGTTTACTATATGTTTACGCATTGTCACGTAGCGTGCCAGGATGTCCAGCAAACAACAGTTACAATAAAAGGAAGCTATAACTATATGAAAAATTCAGTTCTGGCGTGTAAGAACTCAGTTCTGGCTGTTCTACACCATGTACACGGCGTACAACACATTCGTGCCACACATTTTCGCGACAAGCAAATAATTTTCCCCATAGAGCTTTTTCCACTGTGACACACTTCGTGGCCCAAAACGAAAGGTGTGGCGCGAACCTTTCGTATCAGTACGGTATTACGATACAGCAGCAACAGCAGGAGAGCTCCCGGCTCCAAATATTTCACCTCCATTCAACAAAACCTCCATTTCAACAAAAAACAAAGATGTCAGCCCAAAGCAGCCAGCCCAGCTTAGCCCAGCATGCATCCCTGTCGTACCGTTGTGCATTTCGTGTCGCTGTTTGTTACCGGCCTTATGGTGCATTTGCTCTGCCATTCCTCGACCATACCCGTGCACCTCTCTTTTCCACGCCGTGCCAGACCTCAGAGATTTGTTTGAAATGATAGTGGCCTCGGAGGATTAGGGCGATTGACGGGCTGCTAGGGCTGTTTCGCTGTTCACCACTTCTCCGCTCCTCTACGCTACTTGAAATCGTCTCTAGATCGACCTTTCCTGCAGCATGCCTGGTGATCGTCCAAACTACTAGTCGTGATTAGGTATTTCTTTTACCATTATACGAATTAGTCCGAATACCGTACTGCTACGAATTTTTCGCGCCTCACCTTTCGTTTTGGGCCACGAAGTGTGTCACAGTGGAAAAAGCTCTATGGGGAAAAATATTTGCTTGTCGCGAAACTGTCTGGCACGAATGTGTCGTACGCCGTGTACGCCGTGTACGCCGATTTGTGTATCGGGCGTTTGGATAAACCGCACCTGACTTTGGTGCCGCACCACCGGGCCTGTCTTCTGTTCTTCTGCGTAAACATATAGTAAACGATCTGTCCAGCAGTTTGGGAGCTTTGACGCTGTCGCTCCTTGTTGTGGCTTCCCTGGAGCCCCGCGAAATGTGTGTTCACATAAACAAATGTGTGCCATAAAAACTGACAGCCCTCGCGAATTGGTGTAACAAAACGAAAAATTCCAGCTACATTTTTGGGGTACCCACGAACGGCGTGGCGCGAAGAATTCGTAGCAGTACGGTACTGCGCCACAAATTTCGACTTCATCTGCTCGTTTCGTCCCTTGCTCTTGCTTAGCCTGTCGTATATGTAAACCGCACCCCGCGTACAGCGTGGCTACAAGCACTAGTAGCCGTCCTGGCTCCGCTGTAAGAACTGTTTCGTGGCGGACACTGCCCAGCGCCCGAGCCAACCTTGGAAATCCAGTAATGTAGCGAAACCCCAGTCGACACAAGCCCAATATGACACAAGCCCGAGCCGAGCGTTACAAAATTACGTCCTGTATCTGCCTGACGAGGGCTGGTACGTACAGGTAAAGCTTCTACTGCAATCATGAAGTGGAACATTCGTAATCTAAAACCAGAGCTTTGTTGGGGTGTTAGATTGTGGGAGTTGATGGGGTGTTACACTGTGGGCGGCGCGTCCCGAGAAAGGACGAGCACCGGGGGCCCTGACCGGGCCGAAACACAGCGCAGGGGCAGGCGCGCGGCTATACGTCCGTCTGTTCCTCCGCGCGCGCCTCACTCCCTCACTCACGCCAACCGGGGCGCTCTCCCAGCCCCTGGCTAGGCAACACAGCGGCGCAGAAGACGGGAACCGAACTAAGCGAGAGCCGCACGAGCCGCCACACCACCTCTGGGCTATCTGGCCCCACTTCACCTGGCCAGCCTATTCGCGCGCTCTCTTCCCTCTTGACCAGTTGAATTCCTTGCCAAATATACAGTCCCCGTCACCACCACCGAATTTCACCTTATCTACCAGCGCCCCGGAAAGAGGAAACAAACATTAGCACCAGAATCAAGGTGAACTCACACTTCAGCTGCTGCTATTGCAATTTCCCATATGAAACTGCTCAACACAGCACTCTCATCAACTCTCTCCCTCTCGAGATGCAAGCGGACTCTTACTTTGGCATCGTTGTGAGTATATGGTGCAAGCACCACCACAGATCTCGTTTCTTCCCCGCTTCCTCAAATGTAACCGTTCTGAATTTTTCCATTCGCTCGCTCGTTCGCGCGATCTCAATTAGAGATTTCCGCCATTTCCTTACGCCCCAGGACATCGGCACCGTGGTGTCGTCGTTGGTGGCGGTTACGGGTACAGACAGCCCCTCTGCTGCACGGGTATCATCCGGCTGGTATCAAGCCCCAGAGCTGCGCGCCGGACACGGGTTATCGCCAACGGGGAGAGAACGGCAATGGGTTGGATGGGAAGGAATTAGTGCGGTTGTGGTTGCATTCATGATTGCGTAGGGATACACGATATGGACTCAAATACCGCAACTTTGGCCAAACATTCGCCACTTATTATTAAGCAAAAGGAAGGATACCGTGGGGCTGATAAAGCAACGAACAGGCTGTAGATAAGCCGTACGGCATGCTGTGCAAATGCACAGGCAAATTGTATGTTATGTCGTACAAGACGTAGAGGTGATGTCTTTGCATGACCAGTTTAGCACAGCCCTATTCAGCACAGGTGGAATTGCCAATCCACATTCCGTCCTCGTCACGCCTGAGTCCGTCCTCTCCTAAAGCAAGGTACTAGAGGCCGCAACTAAGGCCGAAAGGCATGAAACTGCACTTTCCTGAAGCACAGCACAGATCGTACCTTTTGCGCGCACCTCCATCCGCGCGAGTGATCCCGGGTCTTCAGTCTTACGGGTAAAGAACCAGAGACCTGCACGAAAAAATGACGACCACCAATGTCATACAGCGGCCGAGCTTATGGTATCGTACTGTCGTACATGGAATCATTGGTGACACCACATCTGCGTTGGGCTGACCCCGGCGCACATGCTCAATATCCAGACCTAATTAATTTCCCAAAACTCAGAAAGCACAGTTCCAGCACCCGCCCAGCAACCCGTACACATAGTGTGTTCGGAGAGCAATGGAGAGGATCGAATTAAGCATAAATAAACCTTAGCGCCGTTCATGAAGGCGAGCGAAGGCGCGTGTACACGGCTACCGTATTCCAAGTTCTTGCGTCCCCTGTTTTTCACCCAGCCTCTCAGCCGAATTCCGTGCATGCCTACCTCCCTTATCGACGGACGCCAACTGCCCGAACGGGTTACCACCACCACCACCACCACTTGCACCATCACCGCCGCGGGTACTCGGCCAACCCCCCGCCGTCGCCGCCCTCGGCACAGCAGCTGGTGTCGTACTGTATGGAACTGAGCTGCAGCCGTCGCCGCTAGGGCTTGTGAATGTGGGTGGGCCCCCGCTGATGATGGCCCACTCGTACCTCAGGCTAATATTCTGAGAGTAGCCTGCAGTTGCAGCAGCAGTACCAGAAGCGGATTAAATAAAGCGCAGGACGCGATGGCGATAGCGGTGGCAGGGGTTGTGATGGTGCCGGCGGTGAAATCGAACTCCAAAGTACATGCTTGAAATGGGACCTGCGTGAAGAGGCCGTACCCCTTTTTTCATCCGTTTTCAACCCTTTTACCCGGGCAGGTAAGCACCTGTCCTGTCCCTCAATTCCCAATGGCAGTTTCCGAAAGCAATACGAGGCCCATCTATCTCCTGATTTCCGTACACGTCCTTGTCGTACTCACCCACTGCCACAATCCAGTAGGGCCCGAATGCGGCTCTCCAGGCGTCCCCAGGCAGCAGCTGCTGCAGCAACTCCGGACCGACAAGTAGCTTGCCGTCTCTTCCCTTGGCCTTGAACGTGGTCGGGACTGCTATCAGCCGTGATCCTCCCAGACTGCGAAAAGAGGACGGTTGGAACACTGTAAAAAGTCGTACGGCTAAGACGACGATATGTTTAGTGACGGGCCCAGTGGCCTTGGCATGTCCAGATGGGGTGTGTGTGTGTGTGTGTGTGTGTGTGCGCAGAGTTCTTTGATGAAGTGCCGTGCAGTTGACGCGCTTTCTGTAGAGCACATCGCATTAAAAATGGATAGACTTTTCTAGCTTAGGAGAACATCATCGTCTCCTGAACTTCGCAGTGCTATCGTCCTTATGCCCTCGACCCCGACCCCTACACTGAGGCCCTGGGCCCTCCATAGTACGGTGACCAGGGCCGTACAGGCTGTCGTACCTGCCGTTCTTGGAGGTCCCCACGCTCGGCCCGTTGACGCCGCCCTTGTTGGCAGAGTTGTACACAATGAGACCTCCCTGTTGTGGGTTGTGGGTTATGGTAAACTGTCAGCGGAAATCGGTCAGCCGGCGCCAGGGAGGTCCCGTTGTGCACAGCACTGTGCGGCACGCTGTGGTGGCTTAATTAGCTGTGGCTTTGCTCAGTTTGCGTGATGCTTTGTTTGCATTGGCCGCATGGCATGCTTTTCTCGTAGAGCTTTGGCTGGGTTGGTCAACGTTTAGCTGCATAATGGGGCTTTTGTGTCTCAAGTTTTTAGCATGCGAAATGCATACAGGGCGTCAGCCGCTGGTGCAGCCAAATTGCAGCCTTCGCCAAACAGAGCCAGCCAGCAAGTCGGTCATTTTGACCTCTACTTCCTTCGGCATCTTAACTTGGTGTCGGTCAGTCGACAATCTGGGCCAATTACCAGAAGTGTTTCCTGAGCCGGGCACCTCGCACGCGCTGTTGTTGCATGACCCCCTTGCTCTGTCTGTTATCAAGGTGTATACAACAAGTCTTTTTAGGAATATTACTTAGTTGGAGCTTTAACCCCCTTCGTAGTCCGTAGTTGGCACAGGGGGCCCGACAACCGAGCCGTCTATCGCCATAACAGGGCCCATTATCAGAGTGGCGGCCGTACCCGAATTTCCTTTGCCTTTCGTTCTGATTTTTTGCCTTACCGAGACGTTCCTTGGATCCAGAAGCGTGTACTCCGCTCGTACACAATACGCCTCATCCACAGGCTGGTAATCGAGCGGAATCTGGTCAGTGATTGCGGGATATTGGCGTGACGGGAGGGATACCTTCTAACGAGTCGTTGGTTAGATTGGGGAACGGGTGGATCGTGTGGTGCGCGTGAGGCGAACAGCTTGTTTGGACTTTCAGATCAGTAAATACAGAATAGACCTTAATATACAAATACAATGGAGTTAATATTTTAAATTGTTAAATTAAACAACTCAACAACTTCATGACCAGCGTAGCAAGGTGAAATGCTGTCATGGAAATAGCGACGTGTGGACTGTAGGTCCCCCCACCTCAAAGAACTCTAACTTACCATTTTTTGTACATACCAAGGTGCTGAGATGTATGCAGCGAGGTTGAGCGATGTCAAGTTGCCGAAATTAGGAGGTGGACATGGCCCAGATGGACTGCCACTAGTGGGGAAGCTACCTGCGCTGGGTGGTGTGCCATGCACCAGTGTTGCAGTGATGCTAATGAAAGCGGCTACCACGGGAATTAATAAGCCTTCCATTGTGGTCGGGAAAGCCCGAGGCAATTGTATTTAATTTGTTCTTTTACTGATCAACTGTATTTATGCAGGCAGGGATATGCAATTGTATGACATAACGAATTTTACGGGGCGTAAGCTTGGCGTAACCCTACATGGTGTACGGTTGGTGTAACCCGCAGTTATGCCAGCCGGACAGCAGACCGTCCTACAAGAATACGTACTCATTTTATACGTAGTGCCCGTATGATAGCCATTATCATACCAATTTTTTTACCTTTGGATGAAACCAATCCGTCATCATCCTATCCTAGTTCCCACCGCGTTGCCGAAGAACGGACACGGGATAACGGGAAAGCGTATCAAAAGCTCTTTGGGCTTCCTGCAGGTTGCAATAAAGATTATCGTTGACTAGATAAAAGCCTAATATGAAACCGACAGGAAATTCAAAAGTGCCTTATCATTATGTGGACGAGAGGGAGTGTTACCGCTTATGCTGGTCTTTTTTCAAGACCGGATCTGGAAAAACGTTAATGTTGTCAATCACCTAACAATACCGCATCTCTCGATCCCACGTCAGGCAAAACCGTTTAACGGACATGTCGCTGTCTGGCTCTGTGTGCTATGCAAGGGTTATTGCTTAGAGCCCACGGCGTATATATGCCGCGGCGGCATCAATCCCAAAGACTCTGGGACGAAATGCAGTCGCACATGTTCCGTCGTGCTCCGGTCTTCCTCATTCCACCGACTGGCCATCTTGGCTAATGCCATTAGGGCTAGGAATTATCACGCCACATCAGGCATCCCTGATATTCCATCACTTGAAGCCGCGACCAGGGACGCGACCATCATCCCTGCACCCCAGGTCTCCCCGCTGTTCCGGTTTCAGCCTTCCTTCGACCTGCTTTCGTTGTCAAGGACATGCCCACGAATGCTATGCTAAGGTCGTACAAACGCCCCAGAGAACCTTATAATCAATGAGCTGATTCGAGAGTATTTGGTATGATCGCTTATGATAGGCACCTTTTTTCAACCTTAGAACTTCCCTGAGCTCAGCTTAATTATGTCGTTTTCTATGTCTCATCAATGCGCCCAGTGCGCCTGCGTTCAGTCAGGCGCACCCCAGCCAGGTGTTGCTTCTTTAGGGTCGCTGCGCCGGTCACCTCACCTCGCTGCAACGGTGCGTAGCAGCAATAGTAGCAACAGTACCATGCTTGATCGGGAACCTTTTGACTCATGAGTTCTCATCGCACCCCTCGTCTCCTATCCCCGCTGGCGTATAATATGTCCAATATGGAAACGGACTGACCCACGGGTCCAACGAACGTCGCACATTCTGTGCTGTGACGGGTCGCGGGGGAGTCGCCCCGATTCCGAGAGACCGCCCTCCTCTTTCCCCTCCAAGAAAGCATATCATCATATTCCCCGGCCGTCAAAATGCAAAACAGGTTTATACGATCGCGTACGACAGTATACAACATTTGATGGCGTACAAGATGCTCAATTACTAATTAGAGCAGGATACATGTCGATGCTCTGGAAAGGGCTATCACGGGGAAAGCCTTCAACCTTCAAAAGTTCGACACTTCACGTTTTTGCATCTCACCATTGTCAATTATTATTTACTTGTTGCCCCTTGCATACCCCTCACTCCTCAAAACAACACGTTGACGCGGTGAGCCAGTGTAAGCTCCGTCTTCGCCGTCTTCGCCGTGTGAGTATTCTCCATTTTTATTCACGTAGCAGTAGTCAGAAGTTGTAGCTAGCAGCAGGAGCAGCAGGAGCAGCAGCAAAATGTTGACAGTGCGGACGGCGGGGTTCTGGTTTCTGGTGGCGTTGATGATGGGGCCGATGATGGCGGCTTTGGCAGAGAGCAACAATGATGAAGCGCAAAATGGCAGTGGCAAGCACAAAAAGGGCGCAGCACAGCCCAACAGCTCCTCAGCTACGAGCTGCCCCCCGAACGCGCTGGTGCCATTGTCGTACTTTGACTTGGTGGCCTACGTGGCGGCTCCCTGGTACGTGCAACGACAGGTGAGGTGCCTGCTGCAGAAGTGGGGACTCCCGGGAAGCGGGCTGATACACACAGGGCTGGAGGGTGGAGTAGGGGGGTAGTAGGGGTGTGTGTGTTTGCTGACGCGCCCAGCCAACCTCCGCGCCCCCAGGTCCCTCTGAACTACCAGCCCGTGAATGAGCTGTACTGCGTCAAGGCGGAGTACGAACTAATCGACCCCAGGAATATCTCGGTAAGCACAAAAGAGCACGTCCAGGGTATTGGGACTACGAGATGTATCATTACCTACACTCTCAAGCGTCTGCAGAGAGTTTATCGCCCCTCGATCATCGCCCAGACATCATTCCCTCCTCCCACCTACTCACCTACCCACCCACCTTCGCACCCAACCCAAAGGCGGGCATCGTCGTCAATAATTACGCAAATGTGGGCAAAGTCAACGGACCCTCCAGAGGTTCGTCCAAGTACGACAGGTACAATATGCGCCAACTCTGTACGACGGCAGGGGCACAGTACGGCAATATGCAAAAATATGCGAACACACGGTGATGGCGTTTGGGGTTCCGTTGTACGATTTGTTAAAGGGATGTTCTGTGTCGTACAGATAGCAAGTACACAAATAACATGTGCCCCATCATAAAAATAGTTCAAACATAAGAGTCGCAGGACGATCTCCTTGTTCTGACGGAATTTGTAATGTTTGTCGTACAGGACGAACAGCTCCCGTTTGTTAGGTTTCCCCGCCAACCCCGGAGTCGAGGCTCGTGATGGCAAGCTACTTGTCGGTCCGGAGTTGCTGCAGCAGCTGCTGCCTGGGGACGCCTGGAGAGCCGCATTCGGGCCCTACTGGATTGTGGCAGTGGGTGAGTACGACACGGACGTGTACGGAAATCAGGAGATAGATATTAAGCTTTAGAAATCCCTCAGAAGTCCAGCTGTTACAAGTTCAAAACGCCCAGAAAGGGGGTGACATGGCAAGTTCACAAGAAACGGAGAAAGCTAGACAATACAATGGCCAGCTGTACGGCCCGTACACCTCCCTCCCTGCCATCCATCCCCGGATCCTCTCCCCTGCCTCCAGCCTCCGCCCCCGACACGCCGACACATACACACATAGCCCGTGGCGGGTGCTCACGGCTCTCATCCCGGCCTTTGTTTGCCCGACACCTCACACCATCTCAACTTTCCTCTCACCCTTGCGGCTGCTTTAGACCTCCTTCCACCGCCACCGCCACCGCCACCGCCACCACCGTAGGTCTGTCCAAGAATCCCACCCTCAAGTACGACTGGGCCATCATCAGCGGAGGACCGCCCAGGTACACCAGCCCACGCGGCAATGGCTGCAGCTCGGTGCCGTACACGGGCAACACCACCGCCTGTAGCCAGAGCAATGCTAGCAGCAGCAACAGCAGCAGCGGCAGCGACACCTGCATCTATCCAACCACCACCAGTACGGCCACAACAACCTCAGCCGCTACGACAACCGCCAACGTAACCACAAAGAAGGACGAGACCAACACCACCAATGTCAACGGCAGTGGCAATGTCAACGGGAACAACAGCACCAGCCCCAATCCGGGCCGCGACGTTCAAGGCCCCGCTACCACAGTCCCTCAGGCATCCCCACGAGCGGCGCCGGCAGACCGACCCATGGGTGGTCGGGGTCCGGCAGACTTCGACCGGGGCGGTGAGGGGGCTGAGGGCCGAGGGGGCTTTCAGGGGGGTTCAAGAATGGCTATATTGGCAGAAGTGGGAGAGGATAGAGCCTCGGAGCTGGAGGGTTGAGGCGGACTGCAGGGGACATACGGGAGACATCCGACTCACACCTCACACACCAGCCAGGTCATGCCCTCGGGATATACCGTCTCATGTGATCACAACGCCACCGTGTTGCAGTACGTAGATCCCCTCCTCCCCCCGGCCGCCCCCAGGTCTCTGGTTCTTCTCCCGTAAGCCAGTGGACCCGGAGGGCGCCCAGGAGATGGACAGGAGGGCGAAAGGTGTGGGTGCGGCACACATTCTTCGTGCAGCCTTGGCGAGCACCATGTCCGCCCCATCCGAACACCCCAACCCACGCAGTACCATACACCAACGCTGAAGGGTTTCCCTTTCACCCTTTCGGGATAACGGGGCCCCGGGGCTTCAGAGTGTAATTCGTGGAACCCTGGTGCTCCCATACACTCCGTCTGCATGCCTGTTTGTGCCTGTTTGTGATCGCTCCGTTTCCATTCCATGAATCCGGTTTCACACCGCTTCTACATATTTGTACCATTCGCTCACTAATCTCCCTTCTTACCCCTCTTATCCCCCACCCTCATCAGCTCTGGGTCTGGACACCAGCCAGCAGCTGGGAGTCCTGCAGGCGGGATGCAAGTACGAGTTCGTACCCTGACACGTGGCGCAGTGGCTCACGATACCATATGATCGTGGGGAGTGCAGGGTTCCGGAGCCGCGAACATACGCACGTGTGGACGCTCTTCTATGGAAAGAGAGTTCCTGAGAGCTCCGAGATGGGCTTCACACACATACATATACATACATACGGGCTCAGGCGGGCATGGCGTACTAACGTGGTTCACGACGCATGGCGCCCCGTTGAATTACCCACATGTGGCGGGTTTGTTTCGGAGCGCAATCTGGAAGTGGACGGATTAATCACACGATTATTACAGCAAAAGCGGACTTTCACGTCGTGTATCGGTTTGATTTGGCCCGTTATCTCAAAACGAAGTGGTTTCCGGAGCCAATATAAATATACGAACCCTTCTCACATGCTCCTCTCGTGACACAGCCTCCGTACTTGAGTGTTTGACGTACTCTGCTGTACTACGTGGTACTATAACCCAACGTAAGGGGGTTAAAATTGTTGTTTATCAACGATTCAACAACGAATTCCTGAAGCTCTTATTGTGTTTCCTAACTCTTGGGAGACATGATATTTGGATGTACACATGTACGAATGTACGAATTTACCCTTCCATAGACTCTTACGTGCGTGATGCAGAGCAATGCGCCGTCCGCACGGTCGTCCGTACGGAATGCACAGCAGTTACAGCATCTGCCACGTCTGCAGCGGCATACGAAGTTGTTTCGATATCAGAGTTCAGGCAAGGGACATTTCATCATGGGGATTGGACTAACTCATGTCACGAATCAGCGGCTGGACATCTGCGTTGCCTCCTCTATAACAATCGCAGGCAGGTGTATCTGCTGCCCTGGCAGTGAGACCACACGCAAAACAGCGACACAGATCTATCATTTGAGCTCGAAAAATAGCAAACGACAAGATCTACAGGTACCTCGACACGAGAGTGACAACATAGTGGTGAATGAAGGAAAAATTATGATTAGCACTTACAGATAAGCCTTTGCTTTTGCCTTTCGGTATCTCCTTTTTACTTTTTGACAATTTTTAAAAAGCATGCGATCCAAAATCTGATCTAACTGATAGGGTTTTTGGGACCTGCGGGCGGCACCCTGTAGTCGGTACATGTAGGTCACCTCTGTCCGTTGCGACATATGCCCCGCAGAGCCCACTGAGCGCTCTGTTCGGCTGAGCTGCTAGCCAGGGGAGTCCGGCACCCGGGCGACTGAGTTGCGACGGCTTACATGTCCCGTCGTGCGTTTCCATCGGCCGCCGCCCATCGCCGGGCGCCCATCGGGAAAACCACAAACCCCCAGGGATGAAGAGCAGCTGCTGCTGAAAGGCCGCGAGAGTGGTTGGGTGGTTACCGTTAACGACGTTTTTGGCGGCGTTACGATCACCGAGCGAACCGAAAGCGGTACGACGGAGGGTTCCCAATGTAGACATATGCCCCCCCTGTTCCACACATCATATGCAGCAGCCATTCCGCGCCTGTCCGCCGGAGGCGCCTGGCTCCGTTTAGCGTACGTTTAGCAGCACCAGGTGTTATGTGGTAGTTAGTGGTAGTTAGTGGTAGTTAGTGACAGTGGTTGTAAAATGCTTGAAAACTGACCCAAGGTCTTCTAGACAAAAGCTCATAGAGAAAAACGCAACTTTACGGTTGAAATTAAAGCAAGGCCATCGCGCTCCGAGTGTAGGGAGTTGCGAAATCTCTCGCAGTGGTCAGGGAGTTGCTCATTGTTGGTGTCCCCTCAAACCCCCTGCCATCGAAAGTGCTTCCCGGCTTCCTCGCTCCAAACAACAGACTCATGTCCATTAATTCAGCAGTTGAGCAACTGGGGCAACCCAACAATTTTGTTTCAACCACGTCATCCAGCCCCAGTTGACCACACCCTTCAGTTTACTAGGCTGTGGACTGGGTTTGCGGGAATCACGTTGCGATAACCGGCCTGCGCCCCTTTCACGACACCACGCGCAACGGCTTTTTGAAAGATCCAAACCTTTTCAAAGACGAAAACATTATGAGTATACATAACCTTTTTGAAAATGGCCCCTGCTTGGCTGTGTGTTAAGCGTGGCGTTTCGCCCTTCCGTAACCGTCTGCTGTTGGTTGTCCCGTACGCATCCCACCCGAAAGCGACGAACATGGGAAGAGTTGCATAGCTTGGTAGGTTCAATTATTGTGCTGAGTTACTTTGATTTTCCAGAACCGAAATGTTTGATGATTGCTCTGAGCATCAGTTGCTAAAATATCTGACTGAGGTCCTCAGTCAAAAAAGCAACCCCCCTCAGGAACGAGACAGCCTTACGCAAAAGTTATCCTAAGCTTTGCGACCATAAGGGTATCTGCTCTGATGCCTGCATAATTTAGCGGGGTGAGGGTGGCGGAGCGCAAGCTCTTCAGTTCTCCTTTAACGAAAGCGTTCACCAGGATGGCACCTGTGTATGAGAGGATAAACGGAAACTTTGATGCAACTCCGCTGACGCGGTCTTTGCGTCAGGAGGTGCGGCCAAGGCTTCGCACACACCAATTTTTGCGCACCGTCTTGACTTGCAACGCCATGGCATGAAATTTGCAGGTTGAGGGCTTTGAGGAAATAGTGTGTTTGATGGAGTTGATCGATAACTCCGTGGAAGCCACCATAGATCGTGCGGGTAAGGTTTTGAGCACTCCGGCAGAACGAAGTTGTGCGAGGATGGCTGTGGAGCCGGCTGATGCTCCCCGGGCTGCCTGATCCACCCTGCCTACAGAACCAACTATTAGCATACAGCTTATATTTAACAAGGTGGATGAGCACGGAAGGCCAACGAACGAGGGTTCACAGCTCATCATCGAAGACAACGGTAAAGGGATGAGCAGGAGGCAGCTGGTGCACTACTTCCGGGTTTCGTATACAACATCCCACATCCCCTCAATCGATCGAGGTGGGTGAAGAGTCCTTGTCCGCCCGACCCCACCCAGCCTTTATTGCCATCTGGGTCCCGCTTGGCAAGTACACGGTATTACATCGTTATGGTTGTAAAACGATTACGCTGGAGACAACCTGACTTTTATACTGAGGGATACTGAGGGACTTTAAAAGTTGGAGCTACAAACCATTGGTCTGTACCTTCGTTTCCGCTTCCTGGCGGTCCCTCGTGGAGCCCCCCTCAACTGGGTGATGAACGGCTATCCACTTACACCCTTTCCCCTGTCCCTTACCCAGCTTGCCTGCAAACGTTATTACGACGTAATCCATCTGGGTCGATCGGTCCTATTTGGGTCGTTCTCCCTTGTCGTTCAAGTCCTCATTTGCGTCACGCCGTCTCGGCCTGGCGTTTCCTGCTCTTCATGAAACTCACCCCTCAACCCCATCTCTATCAAGCCGTGGGGTTGCTGGTTGGTGGTTTCACATGTGTATTTTCCGTCACTCAGGCACTTGTTGCTCGTCTTCCCATATAGTATTGCACTTCCCTGTTTTTTTCCTTCACCTTCCCTCCCTCCTTTTTGCTTTTTGCTCTTTACACATGACTCCTCTCTCCCTCCTTCTCTTTTGACATGATACCAGAATCTCACCCGGGGGTGCTGCCGTTGAGTGCCTTCATCAACCCCAAGTTGAACCGCTTCGGTCGAGGATCCGCATCTGTGGTGTACTTTGGCGACATGGTGGAGATTGAGAGCTTCCAGGTAGGCGTGATAGGGAGCTGGGGACAGTTGTATTGCACGACGCATACAACGGGGTAGACAGTGAAAACAGTTCCTTACCTGACTCATGCCTAATGCGTAGCGGCGCCTGCCCCTCCCGCATACTCTGTCCTTTCCACCCCGTCTCCCCGCAGGCCCCGCAGGACCCCTTACAGCCCTCCCGAGCCTACAAGGTCCGGGTAGGTGTGGGAGAATGGGGAAAGAGAGGGGGGCTGGGAGGGGGGACGAGCCTTGTAACACAAGACGCAACGGGGTTCAACTGTACCGACGCCTCAGGCAACAATTGCTGGTCCAGAACAACATTGTAATGCCTGTTATTCCGGAAGCTCGAAGGGGAGGGGAGTCAGCTGCAAAAATGTAAAAATGTGAAGCAACAGCAGTCGAAGTTTGTGAGGCAACCAAGCAACCATGCCACGCCGCTTGTCGTTTTGGGAGCCTTCCTCGGGGTGGTTGGAAGGAGATATGAGAAGAGGGGAGGGAGGAGTGCATACATGTGCGACGACCCGGCCAACCTTGAAGTTCCAGTTCCTTAATGTAACGAGTAAAAATAAAAGTATTGCTGGCACCTGCGAATGTACGATGCCGTCCAGTGGGATTTTTGCCTTCTGCTGTACTCCGGCGTATATTTCTGAAGTGGCGGTGTTGATGGTGGTGAAGTATTGTTGTTTGTGGGGGATGAAGTAGTGGTCGTGTTGGTCGTGATGCTCGGTTAGGGAATGGGTTGGGTAGGTAGTAATGTGGACTGTCGGGAGGATATGGCGGTTAAGAAGCCCGATTTACTCTTGTCCTATGTCCTGCCTCCATCCTTCTACCCAGCCACCTCTCCGGCCCCTGCTTTTATTCTTGTGATTTCGTTCCTTCATCTATCCTTCCCGCCCTCCTTCGGCGCGTTCCAGCTGTCCCGCCGCGCCTCCCTACCTTCCCCTGCCACCCTGCCTTGCCTCCCGTCTTACCCGCCTGCATACCTTCCTCTCTGCCGGCAAGCAGTGCGACTACGGCGCGCTGCTTCGGACCAATAACTGGACCTTGGACATGTACGAGAAGGACCAGGAGGTAGTGGAGGAGGACCTGAGTAAGCGGGGAATGGAACTGCCAAGGCAGGAGCGGCGAAAAGGAGGCTGGAGGGGCTTTATGTGGGGTGGAAGTAGACCCCAAATAATGGATTTAGCCTTCGAGGGTCCTGAAACTGCGAAATCGTTGCCGACTGTACATAGCACCACACCAGCAGATTATAAAGCAATTGCGCAGCTCGCCCAAGTGGTTATGGGGGGTGAGGGCAGGTGGGGTAGGCGCGGCCTTGGTTCGCTGGGCTCAAAAGCCCGAACGAGTGGAAGGAAATGAACCTCATGCAAAAAAAACATGGGGGAGGGGCCCATGACGTGAGTTTTTGGAGGAAAGGGGCCTGCTGTGGGGGAGCCCTGAGCTGGTGCGGGAATCAGGGCGGGTCACTGAGTGGGTGTAGGTCTTACGGGCGTTGATTGGGATGAGGACGCGGAGCTCAGGCTGGAAAAGAGGCCCAGAGGGAGATGTTGCGGCGGGACGGGATATATGCGGACAGGGATGGGATTTGAAAAGCTAGTTAAAAGAGTAGTGGAATGGATTGGAATGGGGCTGGCCCTCTCTGTCCTATGTCCACGCGGCACAATCTTCGTTGGAGTGCTCGTTAGGTGTACGGTTTGTTTGTGTAGGCTTAAAAACTTTAACCCTTGTACGAAATCCATCGTACATCTCACTAATTATACCAACAAAGCGTACATGACGACTTGGCCCATTGAAGTGCTACCTCGGTATGTGTTACCTGCTTGCGTTATTACGTGTAGGATGAAACGCCTGACGCACGACTGGCTCTGCCGTCCACCAGCCCTCTCGCTGCATGCTTTCTCCTCCCCCCCCCTAATTTGCATGTGACTCCCTCCCTTCACGCGCAACTGAACTGGGAAACGCCACACACGTACACACACAGACGGGTGGACCATCATCCGCATCTCGCAGCTGCTTCCTGAAAAGGAACGGGTCCTACAGGATGTGCTTAGCCTGGAACAGCTGGCGAAAAGGGTAGGTGGGGGGGGGAAGAAAAGAAAGAGGGAAGGGAACCATACTCAAATGGTAAGGGAGCGGATGCAGAAAGATACTCTTTGAGATGTGCAGAGGAGGCCGGTTTCTTGAGCCCCTTCTAACAGGTGGTTATCTCCTTAATCACATGCTCGCCCGACTCCTCCTCCTGCCCCCTCCATTCGTCGGCAGGACGGCGGCGGTTGACTCCTCCGCTTTTTACACATAAGTCCCTCCTGCGTTCCCATTTCCCATGCTTCATTAGTGCATTTTGCGAATAACCCCCTCTCCCGGTCGCCCTCCATATGACACCCACTCTTCCTCTCCCCCTCCTTCCCGTCCACAGCTCCAGCAGGCGTACCACTGGTTCATTTACGGCGTCCCGGAGGTGCTTTGGAACAAACTGCCACCAGACCTCACAAGGGGCTGCAGCCGACCGAAGGGTCAGTGAAGGGGAGGGGGAGGGGAGTGAGGTTGGTTGGGTAGACAAGGAGGCGGGGCAAGGGGGGAAAGGTAGGCGCTCTGTCCATTCTGGAAAAGGTGGTGGATGGGGAACGCACTAAAGGCAACGGGGCCGGAGGAGCAGGAACGGGAAACTGGTGGCGGAAGGTAGGGCAGCGATTATCATCCCGTCCATAATTTGCGCCCAAAACCGTCCTTTCACCATTTTGCGCCCACACTAATCCCAGCAATCCCTTACCTTCATCACCACGTCGACTCCTCGGCAGGCGGCCTGAAAATTGAGATCAGCGCGTACTCGGCGAACAATCTCATCTTCCAGGCCTGCCTCTCCCGCGATTCGCCTACGGGGCCTGGTTTCGGAGGCCGCGGCCAGATGGCGCCTGGCCAGTCGGACCTTCAGGCTGTGCTAAAGGAGTGGGAGGAGCTGACGCTGGCAAATCGGCATTTGGAACCTTGTGTGACGTGCATGAGGTGTGTGTGTGGGAGGAAGAGGTTTAATGGCGTACGGGGGGAAAACTAGGGGATCGGGCGTTGGAAGGAAAAGATTGCCAACTAACCATGTGCATTTATGGCGAGTGTCAGCATAGTTATGTTGGGTTGGGTGGATGAGTGGTTGGGTGTCACGCGCTTTGGGGGGAGAGTAGCGGGCTGCGCTAGCATTTCGCAACCCAACTAGCACGCCGCGTGGGCCACCTCGCCGTACATGCGGTACCGTGCAGGTACCTACCGCCGGGTCACCCCACGCCAGGCGCGCCGTGCCGGCCGCTGAGCAGGTTTGGGGGTCCGGAAACAAAAGAAGAGTTCGGTGCCAAAAGTGGCGGTTCTGCCGGCGGTGGCAGAGGCCCCGGCCCCGGTGGCGGGGTCTCAGCTGCTACCTCATCGGTCCCTGCGTTGAATCTTCTTGGCCGTGGTCGCGGTGGCAGCGGTGCCCTCCCTCCACGGCCTCCAGGCTCTGTCCCCGTCGGTCCGGATGGCGGTGTGGAGGTGATCGAGCTGCTGGATGAGGATGAGACGGACATAGACAGGCGGCAGAAGGACTGTGTATGTGACTTTGTGCTGATCTGGCTATTCTTCCCGTACCGAGCCTGGTGGGTTGGAGAGAAGTGGAGTGGTGCGTGTGCGTGCGTGTGTGTGTATGGGAAGGGAGGTGAAGAGGGGGCAATGCGGTTCCGGAAGAAAGGTGATGGTAGGTGGGTGGGTGCTGGATGGGTATGCGTGTGTTTGGGTGGCGATTGTGACACAGGTGGGAAATTTATTGAGGGGAAACTGAGCCAGTGGCTGGCTGGCTAGGACAGGGCAACGAGGGGCCTTGTTTTGTATGGCAGGGAGGTCTGAGGTGTGACCATAAAGGTGTTTTTTGGGGGGAGGGATAATTCTGGTAGTACTCCCTCATCAGCATGGCTGACATAACCCCATTGCCCAACCGCCCATGCACCTATCTGCACTCAGCGCGAGGAGCAAGCCTTTGGGCGACGGAGGACATGAGTGAGTGGACGCGACGCACGTGAACTCGAGAGTGTGTATGTGTTTTTATTGCCATACATGAGGGGATTATGTATTCGTTTGTGAAGAATGGCTGGATTTTGGCGGGACGGATATTCGATGTCCGTGGGGGAAATCATGTGCAAGTCCGTGGGAGAAGGGAGGGGGAGGTTTATTAATTAAGGCCCTCAAGAGGCGCGAGGGGGTTGAGAGCATCCATCCTTTTGCCGTATGTATTGATGGCAAGTTCGGCACGCAGGCAAGCAGCACGGCATGAAACCAGGCAGGCAGTAAAACGAGGTCCGGAGAGAAATTGATGATTCATGAAGGGAAAGGGATTCATGGATTCTTCAGGGAGTTTGGGGTGTTAGTTGGGGTCTTAGGGAGGGGGTCTGGGGAGGTCATGCCATGCCGGCGAATTGCGCATCCCGCTTACCTCCCATATCATTGCCACCCCCCTTTTACGTCCTATTGACTCTGGGCGTTGGCGACGTGGGCGTCGTCAGTTGGTTGTTGTTTGTGATTTGTGCACCATATGATGAAACCCTATGTACGCGACCCTGTTTTGCTTCTTGCGTATGAGTTATCCCTTTTCCGAATTTTTTTTTGTGTTCACGGCGTCTCTCGGCAGCGTCGAGGTGCCGGTCCCGAGAGCCCCGATAACCCCCACCACTCCCTCCCAATTTGTGCGTACCTAGATACAGATACAAATGTACCATCATGCATATGTACCTACTTGCAGGCTTTTTGTGTTTCCCTTCTGGAGCGGTAAGGACATGATCAAGTCCAAGCTGCATGGGCAGTTCCCGGAGATTTATAAAGCAGCTGTGGCGCTGGCGAGGAGTGACCAGGAGGTGCAGGTGGGGATATGGGGCTGTGTGCCCGCTTGGTTTTGGGTTTGGGAGGGTGGTTGAGAGGTGTGGTTGAATGGTAAGTACATGGGGTTTGGAGAGGTAGCGTGTGTGGGGAAGATGTGTGGGGGAAAGGGGAGTTTAGAGGTGGAAGGTGCAGGGTGTATGAGCTGGTGCTTGATAGTAATGATGTTGATGATGGGCGGCGAAGGCGGGGCTGGGGGTGGGCCGATATGGAGAATGCAGGTAAGAACCTCAACCCAGCGCCCAGACCCAGATATGACCCCATCATTCGCATCCACCGCAAAACTCTTATCTAGTGGCCCCTGCCAATCCTCTTCTTCCCACCCGTCTTACTTGTTTGCGTTCTCTTCCAATGTTCTGTTCTCATGTTCCTCGTTATCAGAATCACGCGCACAAGCTGGAGGACCCCGGCCGGTTGGTGGCTTTGCTGCTGGTGTCGCCGGACGCGCTGGCACACCAGCACAAGTCAGATTTCGAGGGCAAGGCCTATGAGGTAGGGGGTTGGGGGTGTGAACCCGTCCTTGTGGGTGGTAGGGGTATCCACTGCGTGTTGCTTAACTTCCCTCTCACTCTCCCTCCCACTTGTATTACCGCTTGTACTGTACAGCTCTTTTGCAAGGCGGGTCCTTCCCAGGGCCGCCACTACCGCCCTTCCTCCGGCGCCCAGCCGCGTCTGATGACGTACGTCTGGCAGAAAGATCTGGAAGGAGCGGGAGGTGACGGCGCCGGCGCCGGTGCCAGCACCGACGGCACCTGCGGGAGTGCCGAGGGCAGTGCCGGTGGTAGCGGCCGGAGTGGCGGGGCCCGCCGCGGCCGTCGCAGCGGCGCTAATGCGTTGATACTTGGATCCCCTGGACGGCCTCCGCCGCTGCCTCAGCTGGGCCACGCGGGGTGGTATGAGGACCTCGCGGGGGGCTGGGCGGCGCAACAGCTGGTGGGGGCCTTCCATGCCTGGTTCCTAACGGTGAGACGGGAGGAGTGGAGGGTGTGGGAAGGGATCTAGGGGCGCAGAAGAATAGAACTTTATACACTCCAACCGTCCTAACGCATTTCCAGAGCGTGGACGGTCGTTTTCTCGTGACGGACCCGAACTACTGATGCTAAGTCCTATGCGTTAGGCAAGTCCTTTCCTGTCGAGGATGAAATATCACTTGATGATTCACGCTCGATTGGAAATGATTGCGAAGTGATATATCCACCCTCGATAAGTAATTTCTTAACGCATTGTACTTAATGCGCATGAGCATTTCATTCATACGTCAACCCCTTTTCCCCCTTCTTTTTCAGGACGAGGACGGTCATTTGGTGAACCCTAGGATGGAGGAGCTAGCGGCTCTGGGGCTGCCTGAGCCACACGGCTTCAATCTGGCGGAGAGGGGCTACAAAGAATGCGGCGACAAGTACTCGTACGGGGAGGGAGATCCAGTGGAGAAGGGAGAAATGGTAGGACATGTACCGCATGTCGCATACCCATTTCCCTGGATTGTGCTACGTGTGGCGTGTGTTGAAACCCCCCCATACACACGACCGCACACACGCACATATATGCACCCATGCACAGGATTTTGTGCACTTTGCAATTTTTGCATGTACGGACCCATAACGTCACAATCCGGCAGTCAGTGCTTTGGGCGTCGGTAGTTCATTCGTTGATCCGTTTGCGTACAACCCTCCCCCCCCCCGGTGCCTATGATGCGTGGGTGATGCGTTGTTGGGCATGCAGGAATCTGCTTTCTTCGTTACTCAACCCTTCCACTAAGACGAATGTGCCACTCATGTTCACCGGTACCGATCCGTTCATTACCCTTGCCGAGCTTGCATGACTAGGAAAAACCACTCGCTAGGGTTGCTCATGGTTGAGATGTGTTCGCCGCTTACGCCACGAGGCGATGCTTTCCTTTTAGCTTCCTAAGTTCCTAACTCCTCCTGACCGGACGCCGCCGCTCCGGAACCCTAACCCTGAACCTACCCGCAAACAAGTTGATGTTGGTGGACGCCGTAAAAGCCAATCAGAAGTTTCGAGGAGTTTCGGGTGGCAGAGAGGACGGGGGAGGAGGAGCAGCAGCAGGAGGAGGAGGAGGAGGTGCGATGGGCCCGCCGGCCGGCAATGCGGCAGGAGGCGGAGGAGCAGCCGGAGGTGGTGGTGGTGGTGGAGGTGGCAGGAGTCGTGCAGGGTGGGCTCGTCGCATGGCTGGCACCGCCCGCATCGTGGAGAAGTTCTTTATCGAGGGGTCGGATGCGGCCAAGCAGCACTACGCACTTGTAAGGCCGTGGAGACCGCACTGGGCGCCCAGAGCGCGTGAGTTGCACACGTGCACGTGTGTTTCGGTGTTTGATGAAACTCCCGTCTCCCGTCCACTGTCCGTTTGGACCTGCCTTTCCCAACCTCCTCTGCAGCTCCTTACTTGCCTTGAACATTTCCCTCGGCAACGTCTGGGCTTGACTGTCTCCCCGATTGTCGGGGGTCGGTTCCTGATTATGACCACCCCCTGCTGGGGCAACGGGCAGTCACCTCATCGCTTGGGACTTCAGCAGTTTGGTACTTCGGCGTCTGCGATTGTTCTCTTAAGTATAAACTTAAACAGAGGTCCCTTCCTTCATGCTTCAGAGACTGAATGTCAGGTAATAAAAGATTTAGCTTTACGTTATGTGCGAGAAGGATATGGTACGTTTAGTACCCTTAAGTACGTTTTGATTCCCCCTGCTTGTAAGTCGCTGAATTCGAAACGACGTGCTTTAGTGGGGCCGTCGTCATTCCCAGTTCTAGCTCCCGCCCGGGGTAGTCCCTCCCGTTCGGGTGACGTTCGGGTGAGACGTGCGGGCCCCTTGCCTTCTTCCTAATCCCCTTTGCTTCCACTCCTTCCCTCCATTCCTTCCCTCCCGTTCCCGCTCCTCACTTATTTCTTTGGCTTATGCTGGTAGCTCCCTCCTTCCCTCGCTGCCTCTCCCCTTCTCCCAGCTTCACTCGCTCGTGGTTCGTCTTTCCCTTCTCCCTGCCTTTCCAACCATCTCCCTCTCCCCCTCAGCGTTACTCTCCGAGAGCATCATGGAGCTGCAGCCACTAGGTCGTGGGGTGAATCGACTGGCTGTGCGGAGGGGCGAGCAGTCGGAGCTGATCCACAAGTGGGAGGGTTTCCTGCCCAGGATGTTGGCAGTGGAGCCGGATGCGCAGGTGGGAAGAAGGGAGGGGTGGGGATGTGGGTCAATGTGGAGGGGCCGGGAGGGCGAGGGGAAGGATGTTTATGGAGAGGAGGCTGCAGCGGGTTCAGGAGGATTGGGAAATGGATGGAATCGTTTGCAGAGAAAACCGGAATTGAACTGCCTGCGTCTGAAAAAGGGGGGCAAAGAAAGGACACGAGGAGTAATAAAAAGGAGTGAGTGATGGAAAGGAAAGACAGTCAGTACGGGGGAGGTCCGTCTGAGAGCTAATGGAGGAGGGGGGCAAGGGTGAGGGTGGTTGTATTTGGGGGCTTGAGGGGAAGGGCAGAAATGATGAAAGGTGGCCGTACATCCCGTAATGGATATCTGTGGTAGGGAAGGGAAGACTGACAGTGTAGTGGGATGAGCGGTCTTTAGGGGAAGAGAAATTGTGGGGAGGGGGGGATAACGGGGTAAATGGAAAAGGACAACTGCCACTCTGGTGATCCAGAGTGATGCTGTGATCTGGTTGCATACGTACCCGCTGAACATGATCGTACAACCGTACGACAGATGGGACCACTGCGAGACGAGTACGATATCAATCATGCCTTTAACAGCATTACCGTTTACATCGCCGGGAACGGGACTGCGACGGGCGAATGTGGCGGGGCCAGCGGTAGTGGTGGCGCAGCCGCCGGCGCCGCTGGCGGCAGCAGCCGCGGTCGCGGCCGAACATCCAAGGCAGCGCAAGGCGCCGCTGCTGGCCCCGGTGCGTCAACGCTGCCTGGGGCCGCGGCAGCGGGTGCAGCAGGGCCTAGTGTTTCGCCGCACTCGGCGCCCCATCTCCCCTGCGCGGATATGTCCAAGACCCAGGCACATTACCCCCATTATTCGGTGGCGGTTGCCTTGGTGATTGAACAGTAAGTCGTCGCGGTTGTGGCGATGGCATGGGAAGGACGTTTGATACATGGACAGAGACATAAGCCGTGATCGGGGCACGGAGGAGGAGTACGAGGAGAAGGAGGAGGATTAGGAAGCAGGAAAGTCCACCACAGCGGCACGCCGCTGTCGATGAATTTCCGCCGCGGAAGAGGCCGGGTTGCTATTCATTGCCACTCCTAGAGCTCTTGAGTCATTCCTACTCTGGTCATATGGCGTTACAGGATTTGATTGGTCTTGTCTTTTTCGAGTGTGGGACTGTTCTTGTCCTCGTGCCTTTGTGCTCTTTGCTCTCGGATGTCTATCTTTACGTATGTATGTTTTTATTGCCCCTGTTGATATACGACGTGTCCGGAAATACGTCTACGTAAACGTCTGTCTGCCCGCCCCTAGCAGGTGGCGAGGGGGAAGGGGAGGGCGGTCCAGGGAGGCGGAAGAGTGGACCCAGCTGACCAAACTCAACTCACCCTCCGGCACAGGTCTTATAGCGGGAAATCGCACGTAAGTGGTGAAGGCAGGAAGGGAGGGGAAAAAGGGGCGCGTGTAAGAAAGGGGCTAAGAGGAACTACAGCGGTCGGGTGAGGAGAACAGAAATGCATTTCGGTTCCTGTGCTCGTCCTGCAGGCTTTGGGCAACCAGAGGTATGGAATTGAGGGGTTTAGGGGGTGTGGGTGCTCCAGGGACGGCCACAAAACAGGGTCTGGAAGGAAGGGAGTTGGGGGCACTGAATGCTGCGGAAGGAACTAATAAGTGGGATGGATGGGCGAGGAGGTAAGGGAAGGGGTTAAGACGAACCACTGGCGAATGAAGCAGGTACCAGAGACGGATAGTCCAGGAGAAGAAGACAAATGCTGCAGGAGTAAGGGAAGGAGATAAACGGGGGTTTTAACCAGAGCCGCCTCTCTCTTGATCGCTTGACCTTGACCTCCTGCCCTCTCTCCTCCGCTTTTCTTGGCTATCCGTCTACCTCTGGTATCTGCTTCAATCGTCAGTGGTTCGTCTTACCTCCTCTTTGGCTTTGAAAGTCCGCAGTTGTTTCTTTGACTGACTGTTTGCGTATAATTCCTCCTGGCTCCCTACGCCGGCTTGGGTTCCCGTCTTATTGGTTGGCTTGCGGCTGGCAGGTATACCTTCACTGGTTTTGGCAAGCACATTCGGCAGCCTGGCAAGTACCGTTTTCGGTTTGTGCCGGAGGAGACGGCGGTTGCGTTGCTGGATACCCAGCAGGAGCTGACGTACGAGTTCAGGGTGCGTGAGGGCGTTTGTGCGTGATTGTGTGGAGAGCATGCCGTTTCGTCTCGCCTTGTGCTGGAAGAGTACTGTGGCTACGTCGAAACGCGGCGGTCGTTGCGTGTCGGTTTTAATGAACTAAGCCGCGAGGAGGAATAGGGGAATTGCCTCGTGAGCAGCTTAGTACTCCGCGCCTTTGTGGTTGGAGGGATGATTGGAGGGTTGCTGGGGGGTCGTGTACATGTGCGTGCATGTTTCTGTGCGCACCTGTTTTCAATGCGTGCTTCCTGTGCATGTGTGTTTGTATGCTTCAAGCCGCGGTGAGGAAATGCGGTAGTGGTGCACGAACAACTTTACCGAAGCGAGCTCTGTAGTCCAACGACATGCTAGGATTTCCCATTAAAACCGTAGGCGTAGCTTGGATTATTCAAGTAGATGCCGATTAGAAGAGTGGTTTAAGAGCACACAAGAATAAGTGGCGTTGTAGTGGCCTAGGTGGTGTGTGCTTGTGGTGTGTGCTTGTGGTGTGTGCTTGTGGTGTGTGCTTGTGGTGTGTGCTTGTGGTGTGTGCTTGTGGTGTGTGCTTGTGGTGTGTGCTTGTGGTGTGTGCTTGTGGTGTGCTTGTGGTGTGGTGGTGTGTGGTGGTGACCACAGAGAACGAGGGCACCTAAAGTCCCAAGTAGGTAGAACCTAAAACCTCTTCACTGCGCCGATACTAACTTAATAGAGGAAGAAGGAAATATAGGAATAAGAAAGAAGTTGTCGGAGCAGGAAATAAATGGCACTCGCCGTTATCGTCCTGCCATTCAATGCGACCCCTACCCCAAAACGACGGCCAAAGAGGCGGCCGTCCGCCGGCTAACGACAAAATGACAACTGACGGCTTATCATTTGACAGAAACAAACAAAGTACTCTTTGGCCCTAAGCAGCTGATGTTGTTTTAACATCATTTTTCGCTTTTTTGCATGTTTGACGTTCTTTCTCCCCGAACCGGACCACCCTCCCATCAGGTGACCAGTACCCAGCCGGCGGCGCTGGATGCCTGCTTCGTCCTGGGAACGGGGAGGGAGCCAGTGACGACGACGCCATTGCCCCGGCCGCCTGTCGTACGGTTGGGGGATCAGATGCCGGACCTGGCCGTGACCCTGCTAGACAGCCGGGGAGGAAAGGTGCGTGCATCCGTGCGTGTGTGTGTAACTGTGATTGTGAGGGGTGTCCAGGGCTGGTGGGAGCGGGATGGAGGTGTTGGTGTTGGCGTTGATGTTGAGTAATATGTTCCTGGGTACTGGGGTTGAGCCTAGGTCGGGGCTGGGGGGAGGGTGTTGGGGGGGATTGGATGCTGCATGGATGGGAGGTAATCGGACACGGACAACATGAGAGCGCGAGCAGTGCAGTCAGGCTACGGATTATGGCTGGTGGTGATGGTGGTGATGTTGCCCCCGACGGCTAGAGCAAGACATGTCAAATTGTTGATTGCAGCCATGTTTTTCAACTGTCCTAACCAACTTCGGTATCCCAATGATTAACTGCTCTCACCGCAGGTAGCATTTTCCCCGGAGCTACGGGCCCGCCTGGAAACGCCTTGGGAACCCTCCGCAGGCCCCGGCGTGACAAGCACGAACGTTGCCAACGCCAACGGTAACAACCCTGCGGTCGGCAGCGGCGGCGGCGAAGGCCACCCGTTAACTATTACGGCCGAAGTCGTGAACGGCGACCCGTTGCGTTTCAAGCTACGATTGGTGAAGCGCGGCGGCGGCGGCAGCGGCGCTACGGCAGCTGGCGGCGGTGCCACCGCCAGCCGACCCTTGGGTCTGTCATTTTCGCCTGACGGCATGGTGATGTTTCTCAGCGGTTTGTATGTTCAGCCGTTGGCGCTCAAGCAGACGGAGGGTTCGGGCAAGGTACGTGCATATGGTGTTTGAATTGAATATGAAGGAGCATATCTTGTGAGGTGGGCTTGGCACTGGGCACCCCTTTGCACGTTAAAACAAGGTGTTGGAATGTAGAAATACAGGATGCGAATTATCGGATGTTTGTACGGCATACGGCATGTCGTGCGGCGTGCGCAATTTAAAACAGCAACTCTTTCCCTGCCTGACCCTTTCCCCTTTAAATCGTCGAGCGTGGTTCAGGGCAACGTGCCTTCACTGATGGTGCGTCTGAAGGTGGCGATTAAAGCGACTGCCGCGGACGTGGCGGCGGGGCCGGCGGAGCACCTTCTGACCAACAGCCAGGCAACTGTCGGCGGCGGCGGTGCAGGCGGTAGCCGCGGCGCCGCCGCCACCGCTGCCTCCAGCTCAGGCACTCCTGAGCTGACGTTGGTCAGCGGGCCCCCTGCCGTACTAACCGTTGAAGGGGGCAACTGGTTCAACTTCCCGACGCTAGAGAAGCCGCTAACGGTGAATTACGGGCTTCGGATCTGGTCGTGTGTGTGATTCCGGGGCGGGGTGGGGGTTTGGGGGATGCGGACTGGGGCTGGTGTTGGAAGAGGAGCGGGCTTGGGATGGGATATTTGCAGTTCGTCCTTTAATTTTTCTCCGCTGTTCGGAAATCTCTCTTCACTGGCTCTCTGTCCAGCTAAACCGCCCGTTTTTCCCCAGTCCAATGTGATTCTTCCGTACACCCCCTGTTGCGAGTGTTTTACTCCCGTTCCCCCCCTCCCCACTTTTGCTTACTTTTTGTATATAATTCCCGGTTACCCTACATATGTCGGTAGCAGATTTGCGGCCAGTCGCGACATTGCTTTGGACTCTGGCAGTTGGTCTTTTTGATGTCGGCGCTTTCATTTTTACTTTTGCATCATATGATATCCCTTTCCCAATACACATTTTCTCCTACAGCTAAGCAAAGGTGCAGAGCTGGACAATAGCCTGGTTATACGGCTGGAAGACGCAAGCGGTAATCCATACTACCTGGCTTCAGAGAGGAGTACGGCAAGATCTGCACGACCCCGCGTGGAGATCAGATGTTCGCGGCTGGATGGCGCGGACGGATCCCAGGCGCCACCGGTGGGGGCTTTGTGGTGTGGGAACGGATGAGGGGGGGGCCCAGGGGTGGGTAAGTAAGGAGAAAAGAAATGAGAGCAGACGTTCCGCTGCATGCACGTCAACAGTCACATATTCTGATTTAGATCCTCGCGCCTTGATCATCGCAACCCCCCACCCCACCCCCAATGCTACAGTGCCCCTTCCACCCAACCCCTGAGGGGACACCGACGTCCTCCTCCTTTCCTCCTCCCATCTAATCCGCACAGGCGATGACCCTTTTGGGGCTTCTTTCCTCATAACTTGCTGACCGTTCTGAACTTGTTCAGCTTGAGCTGATCCATTCATGATGTGCACCTCCCTCCGGGCCCTGGATTTCCCCCAACACCCACCTCTCAATGCCTTCCCGGCAGGTCATGTTCCGAAAGCAGGTCGGCACCGTGGGCGGTTCGGGAGGGGCCGGTCGCGGGGGAGGAGCGCGCGGGGAGTTCGCGGAATCTGCAGGTGTGGTACTTGGTACTTGATAGTGATAGCATACTCGGGTACTTGGCTTGGATTGACTAGTGAGCCCGCTCCACCCCGCAAACAGCGATGCCTGTATCTTGCAGAGATGTATATCGTTGGTTATGTGTGCCGTTCCAGTCTCATCAGGATTTATTTGGATTGCCTTACGACACTCCATATCTTTCCCCTCCTCTGCCTCTTGCTGGAGGCGAAAATTCCACCCTATCGCCAGTTTATTTGAGCTCGAGGGCTCAGTCCGTAAAAGCGCCGCCGCTCTTACGCCCTGGGCCCCTGCGTGGTTCCTCGTTTGATTTTTTTTGAGTCTAAACCCCATACCTTTCCCTGCTTTGGACGTCGACGATTGTGTCTTGTGACTTTCGTATTTCATACTGCGTTCCTGCCATTCCCGCCTTTCGCCACTTCTAATGAGTTCTCCTCTTTTCGGGAGTTGGATCCCTCGGGCTCCGCTTGCTTGCAACTCTGCCTGTTCAGTTAGAATTGTATACATTTGCATGTACTTCCCCTTTGCCCCTCAACCTCACATGGAGTCCCCTCCCTACCCCTCCCTTCGGCTTGCCCCCCTCGGCCCCCAAAACACACACGTTCCACGCGCATTTGCGTACAATTCCTCACTCATTTCTCCCCCTCTCCCACTTTAATGCATATTGCATGTCCCCCACCTCTCCACCCCCTTTAGAGATTGAGCTGGATTCCTCCGGCAACTTCCTCACCCTCCCGGGTAACCTGGTCAAGGCCACGGGACTACCCGGGGACATGGGCGCCCTCACGCTATCACTGGTGGAAAGCGGCGCCGGAGGCGGCGGACGGGGGGTTCGAGGCGGCGGCAGGTGTCCACGTTTGATGTCGTACGTGTCCGTACGGAAGGTATGGCAGCCTAGGGTACGACATCTCGTGCCCTGTACCGCGACGAAGTCGCGCCATCTCTCTCTCCCTCTCTCCCCCCTTCTCACTTCCCTATTGCTTCCTACCCACCTCCTGATCCTGCCGGGGTTTATTTTGACTCATCAACCCCGGGCCCTGGACCCCCTAAACCTTCCTCCCATACCCCCCACCGTTTAAGCACTACAGCATCTTGCTTCATCCCTTCCCGCTCCCTTCTTCCGTGCCATTTCCCCCGATTAGGTCGTGCTGGGTGTAGAGGACACGGCCGCGGATGAGGACGGGGACGGTGGAGGCATCCGCGGCAGTGGCGCCAGGGCCCGGCCCGCCCACGCCCACGTCCGGGAGTACCTGCTGGACGGAACCGTACACGCCAAGAAGCGTGGGGAGGTCCTGTGGGGTGACCTGGAGGCGGTGCCGCCAAGCGCTGATGGCGGTAGTGGCGTGGGGGGGGAGGAAGGGGCTGGTGGCGGCGGCAAGTCGCTGTTGGAGACGGCGTTTGAGGTGGGTGTGTAGACGCGTGATACCTGGGGGCCCACTCACGTCATTGCTCGTTGGATTCGGCAATTCGACGGGGCTGCCTTCCTGGGTGGTGACTACACAACAGGTGCCGAAATGTCGGTGTTTATCCGGAGTGAATTCACTCACCCTGAACGGTCGCATCCTGTGACCTTGGACGCCGGCGGTTGATGCCTTGGACTATGGTCGTCATTCGACATGCAAATTGCACCTACACAACTGACGATGTCCGAGGAGGAGGGAAACCCTGTGTGAACACTGCCAGCTGGGCTTTCCTGCATTTCCGTATGATGGAAAATGTATGATTTACCAACCCCTCCCTGTGGCCAAACCGCTACATTGTGTGTATGTGCATGGTTTGTGTGTGTATGTGCGTGTGTGTGTATGTGCGTGTATGTGTGTGTGTAGGTTACAAGTATCTGACCGGGCCTGACACTGGCCAGGGGCTGCTGCCCAGCCCCAACGGAAAGACCGCCTAAGCTCTCTCCCGTGGACGGGAGAGGGGCATGAGGGGACTCTGCCCCGTCTTAAGCAGCCGAGAGACGCAGGTCCGCTAGCTCGAGGCGTCGCACGCGCGCACGCTCTCACGAGTCAAGGTTCCGTCACGCGAGTTGAGCCTAAAACACGAAACAAACTCTGTGTGTGTGTGTGTGTGTGTGTGCCAATGCAGCGGCGGATTGAATTCACCAGCTTGGGTCCACGAGAGGTGTTTTTGCGACCTAGTGGTGCTGTACTGCGAGGACGGGACGAAGTGCTGGAGGCGGCACGGCAGGCCCTGGCGGTGCCTGCTGTATTGTACGAACAATGCTTCGTACTGCGTCCAGGGCAGTTGCGGCTAGGCGGTTTACGGCTGTCGCTTTCCGACGAGGCGGATGACGTGGTGGACGAGCTTCTTACGGCGGATGTGCGGGTATGAAACAGGGACCGAGCTGCGTGCGTTACAGTAATTGGTCGCTTTGTGTAGCGATGTCACAGGCCAAGCTCATCTTGCAGGCTGCCACCCATCCAAACCCTGGAAATATTATGCCCTGGTTACATTCGAAGACTTTGATTTCCTACAGAATTTTCTGAAAGCCTGAATTTGATTGTAAAAACTGGAACCCTGAAACTAAACAACACAGATCATGATTGGCTCCCGCGACGCTGTGGCTGGGGGAAACCAGCGACTGCGGTTTGAGAAGGGCCGTGTGGAGTTACCGGAGCTGGTGTTTGAGGAGCGGGACTTCACGGAAGCGGCGGCGGCGGCCGTGGCGGCGATGGGATCTGGATCTGGATCTGGCGCCGTCGCCGCCTCTCACTTCACGACGGTGGCGGTGACGGTGCGCGATGCTGAGATCCGCGGCGGTACCAGTGCGGCGGCGCCGCCAGGGAGAACATCGTCGTTCTGCTACGGCACCTTTTTCGTACGTCAGGTGCGTGGGCTCACCATGCCTGGCGATATCTGGCATGTGTATCTTCACTGCCGCGTCCTAAAGCACGTCTAATAAGTCAGATTTTACTTATTTGCATCGCTTCTGTGTTTCATGATTCACCCCTTCACTGTCATTTTTCATCAGGTTTCGGTTGTGTAATCAGTACCCTTCCTGTTTTCCCCCCATCTCCCGATTCGTCTTATCGGTCGCGTTAGGAGCCCTACCCGGCAGCCCTACGACTGGCACCCCTGACGTGCGACCTGCTCACAGGCCGCCGCGCAGTCACACCCTGGCCACCGCTACCTCCACTGCAATCGGTAGAGGGGTTGCTGCAGCTGCCGCCGGCAGCGGTAGCGGCGGCGGCGGCACAAGCGGCTGCTGGCGGCGGCGGCCGCCAGCGGGCGGGGTCAGCACGGTCGGTCAGCACGGAGCCGGCGGCGGTGGCGGTGGCCGCAGGGGGTGGTAGCGGGCGGGCGCCGCCTTGGGTAGGAGCACCGGAGCTGCTGCTCCAGCTGAGGTCGTCACCACGGGCTGGTGCTGGCCGGGGTGGTGGTGGTGCTGGTGGTGGTGCAGCAGCAGCGGGTGTGGTGGATGCTTCGGCGCTTATGGCCCAGGGTTTCTCCCTGGCGCCTGTCGGCAACATCACTTTGCAGGCCGGTGCGTACGTACAGAGTGGGATCTTCCACACGGGCATAGCTCTGTTGATGTACACACACCCGAGAACATTCTTCATTCGCCCCGAAATCGTCCTTGCAATTCTGTTTTCACAGGTCAGGCGCTGCAAGTGCCGCTTGTGGCAGTTGACCAAATGGGGTTTCCAGTGCCCATGCATCGCGGCCTCGTTCAACTGCTGGAGATGTACACGAAAGCGTATGTGGAGCCGGCGCAAGACGCAGCATCAGCTGCTGCCGCTGCGGCTGCAGCGGTGGCTGCCGCTGCTGCCAGTGGCGGTGATGTTTTCGGCCAAGCCCGAGGCGGGGGCGGCGGCGGCGGCGCAGCAGCAATCAGCCGCACCGGCCGTTCGGTCCGGGGTTCTGGTGTAGCCGGAGCTGGCGACGGCAGTGGTGCCGCCACCGGCGGCGGCATCGTGCCATGTGTGATTAGCGGCTGGACATGGCCTGAGGAAGAGGAGGGTGAGAATGAGGAGGTGGAGGAAGGAGGGCGGGCGCGGAGGACACGGAGCCAGGGCACTGCGCCTGTGGCGGGAGAGGGGGCGCTGCAGCCGCCCCGGCTGCCCGTGTGCTTCTTCCAGGTGGGCTCCAAGGCCTCCGTGTTTGTATAGTGATTGTGTGTGGCTGATGATTTGGAGGTGGTGGGGATGGGGTAGAGACGTGAGGCATGTGGGATCCTGTCTCACACGGCACCAATCTCGTGGGCTTCCTTGTTTCCCTGTTGTTGTCGTTACGCGTCTCCGCGAATACACAGAACATGTGCATGCGCGTGTATGTGTCTGTGTGTGTGCATGAGTGTGTGTGTGTGTGTGTGTGTTGTGCTTTCCTGGCGCCAAGGTTTTCTTGTCTTCATGTGAACCACTTCTCGAGGGATTTTGTTTCTCCCTCCTTGGGCTCTTAATCGTGCCGTTCCTCACACGTGTTTTTGCACCTCCCCCTGCTTCCACTTCCCCACCAGGTCCATCCCGCACATCACCCAGGCCATGCAGGTCTTGTCATCAGCTTCGAACCCCCGCCGGACGCGGCGGTGGCGGCTGCCGCTGCCGCCGCTGTCGCCGCTGCTGACGGCTGCGTTTCGCCGCCACTGCAGTTGCCGCCGGCCGTGCCGCTGCCCCGGCTGCATCTGGGTTTTGCCCTCCACTTCACGCATGGGCCGTTGGCGCCTGGCGGTTATCAGTTGGCGGTTCTGGCGCCGGAGGGGGTGCAGGTAGGTACGGGAAGAAAGGGGGCCCCGTGCGAAAAGGGCTAAACACGAGATGGGACGAGGTGCCAAAACCTTCCCCCCTCCCCTTCTTCGTATCTCACCGCTTGATGCTTCCTTACATTCATCAGGGCTGCAGTTTCTTGTTTTTAATTACATCCCTCCTCCCTGTCGGTGGGTTCTGTCATGTGTGAGGTCAAGCCGTGTCCGTGTCCCCATCGTCACTCCTATGTATTGCAGGCCCAGCCGATTTCGGAGCACCTAGCGCGGGATGCGGAGTCCTCACGGCTGCTGCAACCCCCGTTGGACCCCACTTCTTGTCGTATTTATCGACTGGACGTTGTGGAGCAGTCGTCGTTTCGATTGGAACTGCGGCTGATGGTGGGTGCAACTGTGAATGAGGAACGGTTATTGCTGCGTGAGGCACGTGCCTGTGTGATATGTGTGCATCAAGAAGTATTTAAGAATGGGTTACCCATATAAATTAACTCCTCTCTCCTTCCTCCTTTCCCCTTGATGGCGGATGTGTGGGCTTGTGTCTTTTCTTAGAGTTGTAAATTTAGGTATCCAAAGCCGCTGCTGTTGTCCAGGGCAACATAGCTTCCCTGTCTCTGCCTCAAGCGTACATGCGACGGCGTTTTTATTGGAAGCACCTTGCACAAACAGTCGTACATGTTCATACACAATCGTACAGGATGCTCAAAGCTGCCTGGTGGCGGAGGACGGCGCCTTTGAACTGCGATATTTGACCAGTACAACCGAACAACACCAACAGCTGCGAGTGGAGTCCTGCTCAGTGACCCGTGGGTCGCTGTCGGTGTCGTTGCCGGTGGGCGCCGGTCGTGCCTGGCGGTCCTGTCCCAAGTTGCTTCTCCTCAGCCCCACGTCGCCCAACTTTGCGCACGGGGGCCCTCTGTGCATCTACGTGACTGTACGGCCGGGGAGGTACGATTCAGGGGCGGAGGAGTGGGGGAAGGGGAGGAGATTGGGAAGGGGAACCCCGTGTTCACCCTGATGGTGTGGGTACCTATACCACCGTCCGTAAACGGCGCATGCCCCCCGTCCCTTCGCAATGCGAACCACACGCGAACCCCAAATTACATTTTTCTTCCCCCTTCTACGCCTGGTTGTGGCTTTGGACCTTCGGCCGTAATTTCTTGCTCTTTTGCATATGCTTTCCCGCTTTCCGCCCGTCGCTGTTTTTCTCTTCGTTCCTCCCTTTCCTCCATTCAGGTACCCTGTAGAGCCCTTGGAGCTGATTTGGGCTGAGGGGGTCAAACCGCCGCGCCGGAACCGGCCAATACGACTCACCCTGTCAAATGACGACCCACCAGCGACCCATGGGTCAAACGATGACAACGTCCATGACGAGGATGATAACGGCGTGTTGGGCATGGGTTCATGGCCTCGCCTTCCCCCCTTCCGGGTGTTAGTTCACAGCGCTGATGGCGCCAAATTTGAAGCGGAGGAGTTGCGGCCGTTACGGCTTTACTACACCCGGAGGGTAGGTATATTCCGTTATTGTGGAGTGCGGTGGGGGGCGTGAGAAAAATGTCCATGTCTGTTATGAGGGTGGGGGTAGGATCTGAAGTGAGGGTAAAGGATAAGGAGCCGGTCGGTGGAAGCTCGAGGGGGCCCTAGCTAGGTAAAAGCCGTCTACCTCCCCCCCGGTTTAATTATCCCTTTCCTGCTTTGATTCCTCGTCCTAAACTCACGTGCGAGTTGGGAGAACGTCAGGACCAGCTTGGCCGTCCTCCGTCTCTCCAAAACCCTCCCATTTGCACCTCTTAACTCCCTCCGCCGGCCACCCCCTCCTTGGGGTTGTTCCATGCAAATGAATCCCTCCTCTTTTGTTGTTCGGGTTGGGGCCATTAGGGCCCAGAGGACGCATCGACAGCGGTGGCTGATGGCGGAGGCGGTATTCCTGCCCCCGACCAGCCGGTGACGCTACTAGGGGCTAGGAAAGGGGGCAGGTTTGGCGCCGGTCCGGCGGCGGGCATATCGTACGGCGGCCTATTCTATGCTGCTGCTGGGCGAGTAGCGCTTCCCACGCGGGTGGGAGTGCGCTGGTCGTTGATGGCTGCCTACGAGGGTAGGTAGGGTGCGTATGTAGGAGGGGCGTAGGAGGGGCGGTACGTGTGTATGTAGGAGGGGCTACTACACATCCCCCACTGGAATGGGGTGGGGGGGTTTAGGCGTTAGGAGGTACTTGGGGTGGGGGATTGGGTGGGCGGTGGATGTAACTGGGACCTCTCCGGCTGTTCCGGGATGTCACGGAAGCTGTTAGAGAATATCGTTTTTTGACTGGGCCAGCTTTAAGACAATAGTTTCGGTCCGTTCCCGTTCCCCTAACCACAACTCGAACCCTAGTTGTAAACCCTTCAATATCATGCCGCACCATTGACAGCTATCCCCATCTCCCATCTCCCGGGCCCCAAAATAACCCTCGCTCTACCCCGCAGACCCGCGGGTCATCAGCTCTCCCAACCACCGCCTACGTCCCTTGCGGATCCTGGATTTGGAGTTGCTTCCAGCCCCTCCCGCCGCCATTCAACTGAGTCCCGCAGTGGAAGCGGCTCTGGGCCCCACTGACTCCCGTTACAGGGCGGTGGTGGTTTCGTCGGAGGGGTTGGGGGAGCACAGCCTTCCGGAGCTGGAGGGGAGGCTGGTGGACAGGTGGGGGTTGAGGGGAAGGGGGAAAGGAAGATGGGGAAAGGCTGCAGCCAGCCTGATATCCACTCCTGGATAGCGCCGTGCACGCACACAGAAAACATGAGAGGACAAATGTACTTACTGAAAGTGGTGAAGACAAACCGCCGCTGCCGTTGCTGTTGCTGCGCCTCCATCTCATCCTCCGCACCCCCCCCCCGGATTCTCACCCCTTGAGACGGCCGTGTAAGGTCTGTCATGCGTTCTTTCTTTTCCCCTTCCCCTACTTTTCGGACGTTGGCCATGGTCTCTTGCTTCTTGTTTTGCACACATGATTTCATCCCTCGTCTGCCTCCCGTGCAACTAACCGGTGTTAATCGGCTGCGGCCAGGTGGGGTAACGCCGCCAAGCCCCAGCCCGTGGACTTCATGGTGCTGATGGCGCGGACCAGCAACGCCGCCGGCGGGCCTTGCTCCTCTTCCGCCGCCGGCGCCACGGCCGCAATGACCATCGAGTTATCTTCTTGTGAACTGGACGCAGCTTCCGGCACCTTCCATCTAGCTGCCACGTCACTTAGCGCCGCGGCCGGGCTCATGACCCCTGGGTCGGACTATGAGGTATGGCTGCAGCTATGGCGAAGCACCGACGGCGGCGGCAAAAGTGGTGATGTGCCGATGACGACAGCGGAGGGACAGGAGGAGGATGCAGAGGGGGTTGTCCCTGGAGCCGTTGCCGTACCGGGCATGGAGCTGCTTGTTCGTACATTGTACGTCTCGATGATGGGCGATAGCGGAACGCTGCGAACACAAGTGCAGAGGTTGCAGGCGGAGGTGAGAAAGATGAGAGAATTTCCTGAGGAGAGAGGTCCTCCCCATCTCCTTATCTATGTACCGCACGTTTACTTCCCGAATACCAGCCCCGGAGCCATTCCAGGCGCCCACGTTGCCCTGGCACAAACTCGGTTCTGGCCTGTCCTGGGATGCCTCTGCTAGGTCGCGCACAAGGAGGGGCAGGTGCGGGCCGCCGACGTGGAGACGAGTGCTCGACGGAGGGAGGCAGCGGCGGCGGCGAGCCAGTACGGCCATGTACTGGCACAGCTTCAGCGGCGGGGTGTACAGCTTCCGCGTGCTTCGGCGGCCGCGGCGGCGGCGGCGGCGGCGGGTCGTCCAGGCGAGGCTGTGATCGCCGCCGCTGTGGAATCCGAATACCGAGGACTTGCGGTATGTACATACGTACGTACCTACGGCATGTTTTTCTTTTTTGTTCCTCCATGTAAACGAACACCTGGAGTTAATTTGTTTTGAGATGTATCTCCTGCATGTGTGCCCTTCTGCCCGCTTTCCCGTCACCCTTTTCCCTCCCCCCGTTTCTGCGCACACAATTACCTAACACCCTCCAGGTCCCCACTCTTGTACGGCCCTTCGTACCTTCCCACCTTCTTGCCATCCTCCCTTTTTTACCTGATCTCACATGTGCGTCTACATGCTCATCTGCTTGTGCATGTGCGTGTGCGTATGTGTTTTGTACGTCAGGACGCCGTCCAGTCCGCCCTCACTTTTCTTGATGGCCAAGCCATCAGCCTCATGCGGCCCCCACTGGTGGAACCAGCACCGCCCATCACACGATGGGCGCCACCAAACCCACACGCCGCCGGCGGCGCCGCCGCCGCGGCGTCAGCTCCCATCTCGCTGTGTGTCGTACCCTCCCTGGCTCGCAGCCAAATGGGTCACCCCACCCTGGACGCTGGCCGCGTGTTTGAGCGGCTGCGCCAGATGGCGTCCGCTTGTGCGGGGTTGGCGGGGGCGTTGGGCCCCCTGGTGATGTTGGGAGCGGTGGAGAGGCACGACGTGGGGGTGGCGCTGGGGCAGCTGGCGGGGGGGAGGTTCGAGCGGGTATTTGTGATGGAAGAGGAAGCGCTGCGGGAGGTGGCAGGGCGGCTGAGGAGCATGGTGGGTGGTTGGGTGTGGGTTTTGGGGGGAGGGGGTACGGGAAGGGGTTGGATTTGGAAAGAGGGGAGAAGGGGGAAGGAAATGAGCAGGAGAGGGGAGTGGTGCGGCGAGCACGAAGTGTATGTGCTGGGGGTATTGGGTCACCTGAAAGGACTGGCGTTTGCCTTGCCTGCCGGACGTGCCTTCCCCTTGCCGCTCTGCATGCTCTTTCTGACAGCCGACAGCCCCCCACCTCCCGCCTACACACGCTCCTTCCCCCTCTCCCACCACATCACTACTCCGGCTACCTGCGCACACACGCACAACATTACCTTGCTGCTTCTATCCTTGCCTTTGCCTCCCGCCCGCCCGCGTACTCCCCCGCTCACACGCATGTACATACCCTCTTTCCTTTCCCCTTGTCCCCATACATCACTTTCCTCCCAGCCTTCTCCACCATTCACCCTCCCCGCACCGCCCGTGACCCTCTTTCTGAATCTGGAAACTCCCCCTCCCCAAAAATACTTTCCCCCCGCATCCAAACACACGCACGCACACGTACGCACGTACCACCGTACAGCGCCCCGGCGGCAGTGCCACTGACCTGCGTGATCCCGGGTTACTGACAAGGTATGATTTGGATCAAGAAGGAGTGGACACCAGCCACCCGCAGGTGGGTGTGCCTGTGTGTGTGTGTGGTGGTGGGCGGGGGGGGAGTTTTGCGTGCATCGGTACCGTACCATAATAACACCACTGGCTCAGCGGACAGCGCAAGGAATGGGAGAAAGGGCTGAGAGTGAGGAGGGGGAAAAGGGGTGAGAAAAGGGCTCAGGGAATTTGCCCACTATGGAGCCCCCTTCGACATCACCACCAGTCCCCCGAAACTCAGCTTCTGGGTCGACACAGGGAGATGCATTCCGTCAGTGTTTGGGTTGTGCAGGTTGTGCTCCCGCTCCCGCCCCGCTCCGAAACCACACACACCATGCACATGCGCGCATCCCAAGTTGTTCAAACACATACATTACAAGAACACACACGGTGAAGCTGCCTCTCCCACGGCGTATCAACGGACATTCGCTGTTTCGCAACTCCCCCAATCCCCGGGCCCCCGTTTACATCATCCCGTAACAGTTGCTCCTGACGAAGCGGCAGCTCCGGAACCGCTTTCAGGTACGGCATGATATGGTAATATGTACGGACACGCCATGGCTCTTTCCGTTGGTTGCCTATATACTACTACTGCATCTGGGAGGCCTCGGGTCTGTCCTTACCCCTCGGTGTTGTCCCGTTTACTCCCCCCTTTTGATCCCTCTACATCTACACCCTGCTCAGGCTAGGTGCGCTGCATATTCTTGCATGGCATATTTCGACCCCGACTCCGACCCTGACTCCGATCCTTTTCGTGTGCAAGTCCGGCAGGTGGTTTTAGTTCCTCACCCCCCTCATACTGTTTGGACTTGCCGCGGCAAAATATGTGTTGGGGGTGTGTATGCTCAGTTGATCCCCGTGCCTTTCTCTTGCAAGAGTTGCAATGGAGGATCCGGCCCCTCCCCCTCCCACCCTGCGCAATACACACATACACACACGGCCCCGGCCCCCGACAGGGCGTCCTCAACTTCGATCCGGATCCGGAGGAGGTGGCCGCGCGCGCTGACATGCATCATCAGCAGCATGCAGTACCGCCCTCATCATCGCGACAACAGCGGCAGCAGCCAAAGAAACGGTCCTTGGTATGTGGGTACATGAGTGTGGGTGATTAGAGTAGGTCTGTGTACGAATGTGTACGAATGTATGTGGAGTGGCGGAAGTAAAGAGGTTGGAGTGGCGGGTGGAGGGGGCTGGGCGGTAACGGCATTGTGGAGGAAAGTTTGGGGGCGGAGGCGGGGGTGGCGTTGAAAAGCCGCGGTTAATTTTCGCTTGCTAGTTATTCAAGTGAACTTGTGCAACTCTCCAGCCCCTCCCACCCTTCTTGGTGTGTATGTTAATAAACGCCCTTCTCCCTGGTTGGTTAAGTGCCGCCATACATACATGCCGACGCGCACGTACACACATACATCCTGCTGCTCGGCTGTCTTCTTCCAGGACCCGTACATCTGCACTTGCTTCCCTTCCTCCCACTCCTCGTTCGCCGCCGCTGCACCTGCAGCAGGAGCAGCAGCAGGAGGACGAGGCGCCCCGACCCCTACCGCCACAACAGCAGCAACAAGGCCGCGGCGGCAACGGGGGCCCCCATCCTCAGTCTCAATCTCAGTCTCACGGCTTTATCGGGTTCGCCGTCAACCTGGTGCACCTGCCCCCCCACCTTGCGGATATCCGTGTAGCGCTGCGGGACTCCCGGGGGCAGCTGGTGCAGGTGAAGGACGTAGCAGGGGGTGTAGGGTGCTGTAGGAGTGCTGTAGTGCCGGCTTGTGAGAGGTCTGGACGTTGACCCCATGCGTATTATGTTACCGTGTGTGCGTTGTTGCGTTCGAGTCGTCTTGAGTTTTTATGTGTATGTTGTTGGGCTGCTTTCGTTTTGCTTCTTGTTGTGCTTCTTGTTATTTTGCTTTGCTTTGTTTGATTTGGGTTTTGTTTGAACTCCCGCTTCCCCCTGTCCGGCACTTCCTCCCACCCCATCCACCCCTCCCCATCCCGTGACACCTCTTCCTCTCTTTCTCTTGTCAGGCAACCCTCCGTCAGACGATGCTCAACTACGTGTACGGCAATGCCATGGTGTTCGAAGGGGAGGAGCACATCATGTCTTTCCGCGACCGGTGTCGGCGAGCGGGTGTGGCGGTGGAGATGCCGCTCATAGCGGTTGATGGGCGGGGGGGTTATAACCTGGCGGACAGAGGGTGAGGGGCCCTGGGGGGGAGTGGAGTTGGTTCGGGTGGGAGGGTGGCTGGGTGCCGAGGTGAGGTAAAGTGGTGACCATGATGTGGGATATGGGTTTGGGGGAACACGAGGAGGGAAGCGGAGGGGGCCCCGGGGGTGATGGGGGAAGCAGAGGGAGAGAGAAGCAGGGGTTTGGTGAAAGGGGCCGGGAGCTCCTCAAACGCTGTACGGGATGGTAACTGCTGTACACTTGGACAGCTGATAACTGGCATGATGGTTCCTCCCTTGTGGTTACTAACCCTGCATGTGTTTTACTTCTACAGGAGCGTGTCTTTCGGCGAGCGACTGCCGCCGCACGTGTGTTTTTCCGGGCTATCCCCCGGGGAGATTACCCCTCTGAGTCTGGAGGGGGTACACGGGGGGGCGCTGGATGGCAGGTTGCGTGCGGAGCAGGTACGTCTATCTGGGGTGCGGGTGCGGGTGCGGGTGGGTGAGTGGAGGAAGGTACACGCGGAAAAGGGGAAGGGCAGGAGGATGAGGGTTGGGATTGGGTGGGGAGCGCGTAGGGGAATACTGGGAGTGGGTTACGGAGGTCAGAGGTAAACGGAAAGGAGGGGGCCGTGAAGGGGGAAAGGGCATGGGGGAGGTAGGAAGCCTCGAGCTTCAAGTCTCCAAGATGGAGATAAGGTTGGTTCTGCTCCGAGGACCTGTTTTCGGAGCCAGAAGCATTTCGTTCACCGCGCGCTCCCTTCACCCTGCTTCCCCCTTCCACCCTCTTGCCGTACACCCAGCTCCGTCTTCGCCATCTTCAGTACCATAAGGCCCAACTTCAGTCCCTCCTGCCCCAGCTGCAATTCGCCTTCAACGACTTGCGAGCCAAACAGCACCAAGTTGAGGAGCTTAGTCAGACACTGAGGGTGCTGAGGGAAACAATGGTTCCAGAGCTGGACGAGCTCCAGGACCAGATCCGGAACTGTACGGCGGAGCTGGAGCGAGTTGCGCAGCGTGAGAGGTTCCAGGCGGCGCAACGACAGCAGCAGCAGCGGCGGCAGGGCCAATCTGTAGGGGGAATGGGAGGAGCGGAGGGGAGGGCGGCATTGTCGGGTCGGCGGGGTTTGGCTGTGAGGTTTGGGCGGGCGGGTGGCGGTGGGGGGGAAGGTGCGGGGGAGGGTGGTAGCGGGGATCATCTAGAGCCCCGAAGCCATAAGAGGCAGCGGTCCTGAGGAGGACGGATTGGTACGGAGGCCGAGAAGGGGGGGGAAGAGGAGACAGGTGGAAGGGGTTTATAAGGCCCCCTCTCCCCCTCCGGCACGTATTATAGCATGCACAGTTGTGTTGACGATGTTGGCATTAAGTTGTGTGGGTAATTGTCCCGTTGACATGATATCTGTGGGACAGTCTGTCTGTCTGTATATTTGTGTGTCTCTTTTGTGTTACTTCGGGCTTCTGGGTCTTCTACGCCCTTGAACTGTGGTGGTGGTGGTGTTACGTTCGTTACTCCTTCAGCGGATTTCTTCATCTAATGTACAGGGCGCTTGTATGTGTGTGTGTGTGTGTGTGTGTGTGTGTGTGTGTGTGTGTGTGTGTGTGTGTGTGTGTGTGTGTGTGTGTGTGCGTGTGTGTGTGTGTGTGTGTTACATATCCATCTAGGCCTGACGCTGGCCAGGAGCACCTAACCGTACTGCAACGGGAACGACCGCTGAAGCGCTCCCATTATTGGAGGGGCGTTATATCGGCCAGAGTCTGATCCGTTCGCCCTGCCAATGCAAGGCGCAGTCACCTGTTTGAATTATCTACATTTCTCAGCTCAGATACCCGTTCCAACGAGCGCATGCTCTACAGCATTGAACATTTTAACCATGATATTCTTTTTTTAATAATGAACCTTTTGAAATTGAATCATTAGCGACCTCTTAAGTCCAGGTTTAAAATTTCACGCGGCTGGTAGCAACTTTCGCATGGAACATGATTGCGTATTGTTAAACTATAATGGTAATGGTGAAAGAGAACCAGGCCGCTCCGAACAACTGGGAAGCTTAAGCTGACTTTACTGGCCGATATACTTGCGTATGCACAGAGGATCGGAGTTTCAATCTCAACTTAGACTTACAATGTTCATAATTTGGTCCGCTTAAATAGTCATGTTAGCGCGCCACAACCTCACACATCGTACACACAAGTTCAAGCAGGGAACGAGCCGAAACTTGACCAGGTCTGCCGAGCCGAATCTGGTGGATTCCAATCGTGCTCGAAGGTAGAGCCATCTAAACGTATTACTGGGGGTGGCGGGGGCCAAGCGATCAACTATTGTGTCTGTTCATCCTGCCCCCTTCAAGCAGCCCGCCTCTCTTTGAACCCTGAAACCCCAGGCCTGAGCAGCCCTATCGTATACCACCCCCATAGTGTTGTTGGCTGACGGATTGCTCTGGGATGCTCAGAAATTGCCACTCATATGTTACATGGGGTAAGGGCCCGGGGAGCCCTGAAACACTGAAGACGCAGCAGCATCCTTAGCTAACAAGGACTTGTAATAGGCGCTGACCTCAGGAGCGATGGCAGTGCACTCCTTGGCAAGGTGAAAGCGGATTTCAGGAAGGCGAGCACGTTGCATGTTGATTAAGTGCTCGTCCTGTAGTGTAGTACGGCAAGTGCGGCGCGGGAGGAGCAGACCGGAATTGGCCAGAGGACAGTGACTGATACGGTAGTGCGTTACAAAGATTAGCTGGGAACAAAGCGCTGAATCCAGACAACGCTAGTTCGCCAGTCAACCGTGCAAGCAAGCGCAAGTCAGAACGTCGTCTGTTGGGGATTTTGAATTGTTTAAATAGTGATTTACTTTGTATTCGGGACCCAGCTCAATAGTAAAGTAGATAAGGCGATTTGACGTTGCTGGCATATCGGTCGCCAGTAACAGCGAAGTGATGGCAGAGCGCGAGCAATCGCGCGGCGGAGGCCAAGAAGGCTTGGAGGACATCCTCCAACAGCGGGACGAAGGAGGACACCAGAATGGCGGAGCACCTAGTTACCCGGAGGGGGCCGATGCGGTGAGTAACAGACGCCAGCTATTGCTCCGCGCGGTCAGACTGTAGGCACAGCCAGCCGCCGCAAGTTCTGTTATATCAAAGGCATGGGAGAGACCGGACCCAGTTTTAAAATAGCGGGAAAGGGATGCGCCGCCGCTGTTGTTTGACCAGGCTGGATTAGAAGCTACGGGTCAGGCTTAGCTTATGAAGAACACGAATCTGTAGACCGCGAGT